GGATTCGGGCACCGATCCTTTTCTAGGGCCAACTTTTCTCAACTTCTCCTTACCAGCCTCATGGCGATGCTCATGTGTTAGGTTCCTCCCTTCCGCTGCTCCGCGATTCCGAGAACCGGTTGTAGTTAGTCGAGCTCATCGTTTCTGATGGCATGAAACTGTCTTTCATCAAGTCTACGTCCTTTGGAGTCGGGGATGTTCTCCTCTCTCCCAACATTGGTCTTGTTCATCCATCGGATCTGATGGAAGGTTGTCCATGGAACTCGACGTCAACCCGCATGGAGGGGGTTTCGACCCTCATCTTTCAGCAGGGTTCCAGATTCGCCTGCTCTGCGAGAGGATCACACTGGAGGCGTGGCACGATTTGTGTTTTGCTTCGGCCCGCAGAGACCCGCCTCTTCCGCTCATCTCTGCGCAGGCTGATCATTGGGCTTGATCGAGATAGAAATAGAGAGAGAGACGGGCAAGACTCCGCAAGTCTGTGTATCTACGCCTCTTGGACGTTTTTTTTACCGAGAGGCATCCGAACTTCTAGAGAGCTCAGCAATAATTTTCAGCCCGAGACCTGGTCGGGAGCAGAACTCTGACGAAGCTCTCGAGGTCTTCAAACAAGGGGTTGCGCGAATGTTTTTCACATCGCGTCAGAAAGGAGTGCGGCAACGAGTCCAGCGCCGCCTGATGACGCGCCGATGCTTCGTGCCCTCCGAGCCCTAATCTTCGAGTGAGCGCTCCAATCGCGAAGCACAGCCCTGGCGTATTTTCGAAGTACTCAACTCGTCCAACAAGGAGCGAAACGCAAGTAAGACCGAGCATGCTCCACCATTTCACCAAAATTCGTGAGAGTAAGCTCCTTCTCCGATGAGTGAAGTTTCTCTCCGATGACTCAAGTTCTGACTCCGATGAGATGAGCCTCAACTCGAATTCGTGGTCACATTCTCCGGCGTGAATGAAGAAGACTGGGCTCCCACAGGGGAGCGCACAGAATTTTTGGGGGAGGGAGGGGGCGATTCGAGTCAAACTGGAGCATCGGATTCCTCCGGAGCAATCACTGCGACATGATAAAACTCTATTCTGCGTGAAATCGGGGCACCTCTCTCTCACCTGCAACGATAGCCCAGGAAGATTCTAACTCATTGGGCATTGACTTTCTCGGGACGCCTGTTCTGTAAGAATCTTCTCCACACGATTCGACTCCTAACTCGTCAATGATGAAATGCTACTCCGGGGAGATTCCGCTTATCGCTCACAATCGCTCGAACTTTAGAGCAGACTACGGATCTGGCTAGAGGACTCGATTCGATATCTTGACTGGATCGATTACCACAGGAATATGAACAGTCGCAGCATCTTCCACGCGACAGCTTCCTGTCTCTTCGTCGTACCTCTCAACTGGATCAGGCATCTGCTTCTCGTGCTCTAGATCCGATTCCCGGATTTTGCGCATGGAATGGAGCATGATATGCCACGGAGGAGTCCGTCCATCCAGGATCATTTGAGGAGCCGCTCGGCCACCTGCGGACTTCCAATTCGGGGGCTCCAGGGGTCTTTCATCGCCTCTGAAATGAGGAGACCCATTTCTAAAATACTCCTCCTTCCAGGTCTCTGCAGGACTCGCATCGTGGAGAGTCACCTCGTGACGAGCCGGCTCGGAGGAGTCATTGACCTCGAGAGATTCATGCAGCTGATTGCTTCATCGCGACTTCCTATCACATGCAGTCGTTGAGGTTTCGACCATGTAGCACTGGAAGTTTCTTCGAAGGCTCCTCCCGAACTCGAGAAACTCAGTAGAGATCGCATCGGCGATATCTATCCATGTGAGGAAGAGGGGAAATCGGGTTTACACACCGAAAAAGCGGGAAATGAGGAGGCCAGGAAGAATTTCAAAGCATTCAGGCAGCGTGTACGATTGTCAGGGCAAGAATCACTCGTATTCGAGCCAGAGTTCAGTCAGATCTGCGATAGCAGCCTCTATTCACATCGGCTCAACTAGTCGGTTTTTCCCACTCCCGTGACTTCGATCCTCTATCCCAGCCCTTCGAGTATCGGGGAATCGTTTCGATGACGCGACATGCGGACATCAGATTCGCTTACGATTGTGAACGAGTAATCCCCGAGTGCTACCAGCATAGCTGGGATGCTCTCGCTCGATGAGCCGCAGCTCACATCCGCGACGTATTTGCCAACGCTCCACTCAAGTTCAATCCCCAAAAAATATGTCCTAAATCCCACTCCAGCTCGGCAGCAGTCGAGGCACCGACCAAGCTTTCCCTCGCAGGAGATGGGATGGAGAGGGGTCCTCCATGCGAGATTTTGCCTGCGACGGCTATTTATTGCACGCGCGCTGGTGAAGCCGGAGTCCCTCAAAACGCTAGGAATCCCTCAGCGCTGGCTACGGCGGTAGTGATTCGTACACCTTCACAGCATCGGCTCCCGGCGTCGTTCCGATACGCAGAACAAGGTCGATTGTGGTCACGTGCTCTAAACGAGCCTTCGATCGGGCTCCTTGTTGGCTTCACTACCCGACATAGGAGATTCGTGTGTGACCCGAACAAGGGTTCCGGAACTGGAAGATCCCACGCCGAGATAGAACGGGACGGTCGCGACTGTAATTCGATGATAGGCATAACGTATCGCAAGCACCGGGTCCGCTCGGGGCCTACGCCGGGCATCCTTCAAGATTTTTCGCTGTGCCCCGCCCAAATCTTAAACCACGCTCATTCTTGACGTCAATTCATGCGTCACCTCCCATGGGTTTCGTCGGGGCTCATTCGCCTCCCCCCGATTCCCAGTCTGAGGTCAGAAGTATGATCGGGTCTCGATGGCGGAGATGTTCCCCTCACAGAAAACCATTATAAACTTGAATATATCCCCTGGTTCGTGTTCGGAGTCGGTGATATAATCGAGACGGTGATTCAATCGAGTTCCACTAGACTTCAATGGAGATACTACTTTCCGATTCGATTATATGTACAAGCCTTCGGATTCCTAACCCCGTGAAAGTCACGGAAACCCGATTGTATCAACTTTCGTCACCCTCTCGCCCTTTTGAGGGTGCGTCATCATTTTGGACCTCTGGCCCCTCGAAAACCTATTCCCCCCCCCCAAAACAAATCGTTGGAAAGCTACTGCGTCTTGGGACTGGGACGACTCTGATGTCCCTATTCCCTTCCACCTGAAAGCATGATCAATATCAATGCTAAGCCTTCAAGGAATCGCTCTCTATCCCAGATCGAGGCTCTTCGAATCGCATGAAAGTGGTGAGAAGAGCGGCTGCATAGAGGATAGCTTCAAGCCATTCTCGAGTTTGAAAACTCATGTTGGACTTATATAGTCGAGTTTTCCAATGTCTAGAATGTTGAAATAGCGAGGACGACCTAATGGAGTTTGAAGTAGTAGTCGAGGGTGATACACTCGAGCTTGGAAAAATTGATGTTGATGTACCCAAATACGATATATTCAACGTCATATTGTGGGCTGTAGGTACTGCCTGGGGATTGGGTATCATCGTCATGTGCACCCCACTCACTCAGAGAGAGGAAGCTCGCACGAAGATATCGATTTCTCTGTGGGGAGCCTTGAGATCATGAGACTTATGCCGAGTGCACGGAACATTCGCAGCTGATGACGGAGCTTGATTACTCTCGCGTCAGTCACCCTTATGAGACTTATGTGTCTCATCGCCTCAACGATCTGCGTCGCGAGACAAGAGTCTGCTGCTTGAGCTTGCTTGGACGGGGGTGATTCAATAGACATAGAATACGTAAATGGGATACGTGGACCGCGCTCCCCGGTTGATCGATGAAAACACGACTTCGACCATACACCGCAAAGGGAGATAGCCATACAAAGGAGATAGCCGTCCGAGGCTAGTAGTCGAGCGTCCCCTCCCCCTGTGAGCTGATACGACCGTGGTTCTTGCGAATGTTCTGAAGATAGGTTCTCATAATCAAGAACGCGCGATGGCTCCCTCTGGAGGACCGTCCGGAGCGTCCCTCTTCCAGTTTCCGATGCTCCACGCGCTCGAACGCTACTATCATGGGCCTGCGACCGACGACTCCTTGATCGGCGTCAGATTCCTCGAATTATGCGCATCAAATATCGATGCGTCGACGCCGTCCCAAAACAGCCCGTTCGACTGTCTCACCCTGCATCCCGGAATCTCGAGCAGTGCTAATCACATGTGATCTGATAGCAGGGGGAGAAATATGATTCCGCGTTTTTCCTCATGAGCATCTGACATCATCACGTGATTGGGAATGCAAATCGTCGAGTCGAATCACTCTATCGTCCTCGAAAGAGGGGGGTTTTCGTTACCGGAGAAGCGTCCTAGACCTGAATGGATACAGCACGTCGAGCTCGCACTCATTTCGATTCGGTTCACGTGCCAACAAGCAGCCAGCTGCTATGGGGTCTAGCTCGTGTGGCTGAATGTCCCGACCATCCATTGATTCTACGTGATCCACCGGTCGATTGCTGTCCTTCAGCATCGCTTCATCAAGCAGGGTCCCATATTAGCACCAATGTTCTGCTACAATGCTGGCTTGCTTCGAAGCGAATGGCCGGGTCTTGCTCTCGTATGGGTGATCGAGAGAGCCTTCGTCCGAGCGGACTGACCTTTCAGTGCCACGCAATCTGGCGACGGTTACGGTATGCGCCGCTAATCGGTCCGTTGGATCACTCATACAATCTCTGCGACGAGCGCCCAGGGAACACGTTGAGGAATGCTGAAAAGTCGTTGTGCGTGACGTACAGGCTTCACTGCTCTCGTAAGATAGCGCAGAATGCGGGCTGCAGCAACTCTTTCGCAGTGAACGTTTCAGCTTCCGTGCCACAACTCCTAAATCGGGGAAACCATGAACGAGAGACCGGAGTCTACGTGTCGAACGTGTACCGGGGATTTTCCAAGCATTAGGCTCGCGAGCAGCTCTATCTCCATGTCTCTCTTAAATGTTGTCCGCGTGCTGTCACATCAAAACCCGCCCTAATGAGGAACATCTCTGAAACATCGACTTCTCTCTTTTATTCATTTCGAACTCCCAGAATGACGCACCCGTGGTCCATCGAGATCATTCGAGCACGATGTACATATTAATCCTCCCGCATTTTACCATTTTCCCCCGCGGATGAGTCAGTAATAACGCCGTAACCATCTCGATTATGATTAATACGACATCGAGTCAATCAATTGAGGTAATTGGATCGATCGATAAGAATCGCTTAGTTTCGAGTCCCACGAGAGATAGACGCTCGAGAGACTCCGAGTGAGAGTTACACGATTCGTTGCATACCTCAAGGGGTGTTCATTAAGGTTCCCGGAATCGATGATGCAGCGTCAAGGCTTTTTATTTCGTTCGCATGTTATTCAGATTATGGATGGACGTCGACGAGAACGCGCACCTATTTTACAAATGCCTTGCCATTTTTCGGGTTAGGGTCTAACGCCGAAAAGCCTCCTAAATGTACATGAAGTGATCACACCAGATTTCATTGCTTGACAGACTACTTCTCAGCTGCGGGAGCTGTCTGGCCTCCCTCGTAATTAGACTTATGCTTCAGGAGGAAATTAGCCACGAACTCGATTGGCGACGTCGGTCGTTCCTTGGCAAGAGCTGACAACGCCTGCAGGAGAATCGGTACAACTGTGGTGTCTAGGTACTGACGTGTCGATAAGCTCGCCATTTCGACGTCGTTCTTCATCCGCTTCGCTCCGGCGGGTGCGGAATCTTTGCTGGAATCTGTCTTCGCAGCATCCCCCTGCGGAAAATCACATCAGATTCAATTACAGTTTCGGCAGCTCGAAATCTCGAATCCCTCAGAAACTCTGGAGCCGAGTTGGAGGAACGATATTTTCGATGTAGCGGTTGATGTACTCACTGCTCCAGCTGCAGCAGCTGCAGGGGTCGTGGCTGCGGGTTCTTCAGTGGGTTCTTCCGCAGAAGGGGCTGCGGTTGTAGACGTCGCAGTCGCTTCTTCCTTCGCAGCTTCTTTGGGGGTCTCTTCTTTCGGAGTTTCGTCGGTCTTCGGCTCAGCAACAACTTGGTCCACTTGCATTTCCGTGACTGAAAGGACTGGTAGTGAGTAGAAGTCTTCGAGCTATCGGGGCGCCGGGCTTTCACGAGCGGTTTCCGTGGAGCCTCAGCGCACAACGAGCACGTATGGGTCTACAGTCTGCCTGATTCTGCGATGTCAACACGGACAGGAGGGACCCGAATGTCGCCTTCACGGAGTTTGTTAGGTCCAGCATCTTGAACATTTCTGGGAGACGGAACACGACCAGACAACGCATTGATGAACGTAGAAAACGTTCGGAATTGAGAAACCGCTCCTGATATTCATCACGCATTGCTGATCGACAGTCACGGGAAGTCCGAGCCAAGTTCGAAGCCGCTGTCAGATCGTCACGAATATTAGCTGGACCAACTCTTCGACGTTCATGAGCCGTATCGACCTGCAGCGTCTTTGTCGGCAACGACAGCTCTCCTGGCTCCGTCAAACCAAATGACCCCGCTCAGAACTCATAAAGATTCGACGGATAATCAGTTTCGTGGTCTCGAGATGTAATAATCAATTCTCTCTAATACCGAATGGGAATCGGCATCGATTGCCACCCTCGCCCGCCTCAGGTACTTTAGGCGCCGAAACAAGCCTCGGGCCGGGCTCGAACTCAACAACATGCCGTTTCTGTAGGCGGTGGCGCCTCACGGAACTCGAGTGAAGCTCCCTAGATTACTAACCTTCCGACATTTTGAACCGTCGAGTTACTTCGTTAGAGTCGTAGATTTCAACTAATCTGCCGAATGCAATGCCGACAACACACTGCTGTGAATGCTTACTGCTGCTGTGCCGCACGCGATGACCGCGAGGCAAAATGGCGGACGACTCGTCTGCCCGCTACATCAGCGGGCGACCACGGCGCCGCCGCCAGCGCATATCAAGCAGCACGATCCAAGATCCTGAGGGGATTGCCGGGGATTGCGGACTCTTGATTGAAGAAAAAAGATAACGGTTGGACAAAACTCATGGAGCTCCTCGATCCGGGATCCTAGAGGATTTGCCAAGGATTTTTATCGGCGGTCCGGGATCCTCCAGAGAACAGAGGTTTACGGCCTCTTCACACATATTCAAGTACAAACACGATCCGAGATTCTCCTGAAGAAAGAGGATTGCGGTTCTTCAGATGGAACTCTCCCACCACGATCCGGGATCCTCCTCAGAGAGAAGCATCGTGGCCTTTTTACACTCTCGTTGTGAACCACGATCCGGGATCGTCCTGAAGAAGAGGTATCGCGGTCCCTTGACGGAACCCTTTTCGACAACAGAGCACCACGATCCGGGACTCTCGCGAGAGAGGAGCACAAAGATCCGGGATCCACCTGACATAGGATGGCGCAATCCTCCATCCATGGTAGTGCTTTCTCTATGAGAGATCCTCTGGAGACGAGACCGCGACCTTTTTTCCAGGATCACGGATCCTGGTGCGAAACTCCTCAAGGCACCGCAACTCTCGATCCCGGATCAGGTTGCGTATTATCAGGATGCCGGATCATCAGGAACATGAACTGTCGGAGAGAGTAGGTTTTGGCGCGACACCAGAAAACTTCTCGAATCTTGTGTCACGTCACCAATATCGGGGAGGAGATGTCCATTTGGAGTTTGACCAGAAATAAATTAGGTACCTCAAGTATCATATCGGCTTGGGATCATGCTCTCCTCGGACAGTCTTACAGAGGCATCACGGACGCATTAGAGCTGGGATCATTCCTAGAATAGTCTCAGGCACCCTTTTTGGGAGACCCCTCGCTCTCCATGGTGAACTTCGACTATATCTTTCAGCTCTGCAAAGCGCTCCAACATTCGCAGAAAACTGCTCCACCTATGTTATACGGGAGGACTGGGCCATTAATCATGAGAGTGACGATGAATGAGTGCGGGGGATACGCGCCGAGAGTCCGAGACGAGGGAACACGACGCCGATGCTGAAGGGTCAGACTTACAACTATAGAGTTCACGAGCTTTTGACGAATATGAATTCAGAGAGCTTCGAAGCGCTCTCGTCAGATGATATTTGATACCAATGTTTCCCAAACCTCTCCCGTTGAGGATCGCGACGGAATTCGATCGCGGAACCCGTGAGAAATGGTCCCGAAGACTTGAGAATTCCGCGAAACCCAGATTGAGATACACAACCATTTCTCAGGTAATCGGCCCGTCACTAGACGCCCAGCCGCGATTTCATCCTTTCGGTTCTGGGGCACCCATGACCGGTTCTTGGCAGCCCTACCAAAGACACTCGTCGAGCTTCTGAGATTTCTCCTCGTCGGCACCACCCACCCGATTGATATATCTGGAAAATCTCGCGTATCTTCGAATCCGGATAGAGCCGCAGGCATATCAACTCCAGCTCATTAGCTTTCTTTCCTGTCGTGAGCTCGTTCGACACCGACCGAATTTCTCGGATGAGAGGCAGCGAATTCTCTCTCATGAACGTCTTCACGGACGCGAGCCGAGCCTGCCGTCGCGTCGGAATCGGAGTAGAGTGCGGCAACATCATCGTGCCCACTAATCTCTTCGTCGTAAGCTCCGCTGTCCAGGAGGACAGTTTCTATTGGATCGACAGCAGTTTTTCTTCCCGATGATGTCCCTCGCCCCGCAGCGTATCCAGCACGGCAAGGTGAATGCCGTGCGGTGATACATAGAAGGGATTCGGCTTGCATTCATCTTCCAATACTTTCGCTCGCCTTGTCATCGACGCGTCTATTGTAATACCTTGGATGTCTCGGATATTAAGCCCGAAAGCCTGGAGAGCTCCTCTCATCGCCTCGAGCGTTTGGGCTGTCGCAGACTCTCGGAATGGTATACAAATTCTAATCGACTTCGAACTTAGACTCGGCATGACGTCGGAATACACGACGACGACACCGACGAAGCGTTTCCCGTATCAAGTCCACCCGTGGGCTCTCGGAATGAGATTTGCGCTTCTGCTTCTGAGGCGCGCGATATCCGCGACCAAGATATCGCCCACTCTATCATGAGAGCCCGATCGGTTATCTCGCGCACAAGTTTCGCCTCGATGGAACCTAGATCGCTCACCCAGAATATCAGGCGGAAGGACTCATGGGTGAAGGCTTCGAAAGGAACACGTAGAACATTGGCGAAAATGGTCACTAGCTGCTCTTTCAATACAACGCTCCGTTTCACGATGGTACAAGGGCAGTCCGTGGGTTCCCGAGCACGTTTCCTGATTTCTGCTCCGCCGTTTCCATGGTCATTAGTTAGTTAGTTAGTTAGTTAGTTTGTTCATTCACAACAGATCCTTTCGGACGTATGTCGATGTCCCGGCTGTCCCAAGCATCGTCCCCACCTCTCTCTGAGCAGGCCGCTGCGAGGTTCCGGGAATAATGCCGACGGAGTACAGACACCTGCATTCAGATCTGCATGGGGTCTCATCTCGAGTCGTGGAGACCAGGGAAAGTAAGGAGGGACACTCACTCTTGGTGGCACTTTCCATGTGAGACTCTGCAGGAATTCACAAGTCGAACTCTGAAAAACTCATCGTCATACTTCTCGTCCGTAACTCGAGAGTATATTGCTCTTTTTTCTTTGACGCAGATTCCCTCTGTGAGGGAGACGCCATTCGGTGGGACGCAGTTTCCCGTGCTTCGGAGCAAACGCTTCGTTGGAGAAGGATATCCTCGGGAACTGGCCCGCTTGATACGTCAGAGTCAAGCAAAGCACAGCGGGCGAAGTCACCACTTCGGCTTCTGGAAAGTTCTTCATATGTTAGGATACTTTATGCGGATGAGTTCTGAGATGTGAACTTGGAAATCTGATAAGCTGCATTGAAGTCCGGTGTGGACCACCTTTACCTGTCTTGCGATTCAGCCTCCGGAGGTCCCTCCATAGCTCCGACAAGCCTTCCGACGTCCCGAGATGAAGTAGACAAAATTACCTGCAGAGAGAAGTTCGCCAAGTCCTCCGACGTTGTGATTTGTGACACCGTGGAACAGGACGGGTTCGATGCCGACTGCAAAATATGAAGCGTATTTCGAATCGATGTGAAATCGCCGGTGGCTCGATCAGAGGTCTCCGTTGTTGAGTCTGGTCTAAAAGTAGATCGCGGCTTCTTCACGAAGAATGCTCCGAGGAGGACTCGAGTGCCTCTCGAGTGGCGGCTCGTTATCCTCGACTTGAGCTTTTTGCGAAGCGAAACTACCGCTCGAATATGTCTCTCTCGGTCTAGCTTACGCCACTTTCCGCGTCAGTCCCTCTACGCGACCGCCTGATTTGTAGTACGCGTATCGGGTCAGTTCCCGCCATCGTCGAACGCTGACTCGATATGTGCAGAATGACCGCAGGGCAAGACGTAGATAGCAATCTTCTCTGCGCATAATTGGAATAACTCTTCAGCAGGATTGCGTGTCTTGTACGTGTGCGGAAGAGGGAGAAAGGAGTCAGAGACCTGCTGGAGGTGAGGGAAGAAAACTGGCGCGACTCAGAAAAATGCCACGGGCCGAACAGCTATGTATGCTTTGCTCATAAGACATCTTGAAGGAATCCGAATTCCCTCTCCATCCAAGGTATCTCTCGAATCGCGGTGATGCGCCTAAGAGAGCTTCTTAACTCGAGAGACCGCAATCCTCCGCTTCCAGGATCCCGGACTGCGGTCTTGTGTCCCTTTCGACCGGTGGGCCGACGACGACTTTGGGCGATATACAAGGTCGATTCTCCAAATCGAAACCACGATCAGTATTATGGATTGTCCGTCGAGAGCCAGGGACCGCAAACGACATTCCTTCTCGATTCCACTCTGTTTTCACTCGGTGGATAGACTGCCGGTCTACGGAGTTCCTCCTGCGCGACTTGGGGAGACGCATCGAGGTGGCAACTGGGGATAGGCGGGCAACTGAGCTCTTGATTCAAATGGTTTCCATCGAGGTCCAAAGGGGAAACGGCGCAGAGGTTAGCGGATCGCTGCCGACCGGGGACAGACTGGATGGAGTCGGCTGACTCCATTCAATCACTATATGTATATACTCGCTGACATCCTTACATACATTTCGAATAAATCATAAGAACTTAGATGGATCCTTCTCGAGAAACTGCATAAGTTACTGCTACAGAGGTTGAAGCACCCACCCCCGGCCTTCTTTCGGGCAGTATCGTCCTGGCCATGCTCATTCTACTGTATTGTCAGTCTTCAGACGCGCTAGCCTCTCGTCCGCCCGTCGGTGAACCGATTCCAAGACTACACGCCGTTGAAGTGCGGAGAGCTGTTTGGAAGTTGTGTCCAAGAGACATGAGGATTCTTCGGGCTGATCCGCAAGTGAAATCGAACCCGGAAAATCCCTGAAATCAAGGTATCATCGGCGTAGTTGGCTCACGAAGGTGTACAATTAGCACACTCGGCTCACAAATGGCGTACAGTCTGCGTACTTGGCTCGAAATAAGCGAACAATCAGCGTGCTCGGCTCGGAAGTGACGTAAGATCAGCGTACTGCGAACAGCATGCGAAATGCTCATGCCTAGGAGCCGCCATCCAACTGCTGAAGAGGAGGCGAACGCATCCCTTGAAAATGCCTTCATCCGCACATGCCAGAGCCAAGCCTTCTGATCCGCGTGTCTAGCGCCGAGAGTGGTCTGCCACATGCGCGACACATCAGTATACCTTCAATACACCAGACGTGAGGCTATTTCATAGGGAATTTCGGTCACACAATAAAATAGAATGGGGTGCCGCGAAAGTAGGCGACGCGATAAATCATTATTCCCATCATTATCGCGGGTTGATTTCAGAAGATATCAGACTCTACAGGCAGGACTCCCGAGTTGGGCATATAACACAACTACCAAGATACCCAGGAGTCGTCCGTCGTCAGGATGCCTCTCACAAAAACTGCTCCGTCTTTCGCTGGTTTCGTCGCATCGTCCAATTTGCCGGTAAGATCCGAGGTTCCGATGATACCAACCGTCGATGATTCCTCTCGACAGCCGCTGAAGGAGCTACCCTTCCGGAGATCTCCGTCCTGGCAGTCGAAAACTCTGCTCCGCTCCGGAGAGAAGATGATCATTCTGATTGATCGCTGTCGCTAGCCTACGCAGTCCCGGCTCGTTTTCCGTCAGCAGAAGTAGTGCTCCCCTATCCTGGATAATTTTCCACGACCACCTTGAAAGGTAAAGAAACTAAGTTCTTTCACGTCGGGAAACACGGATGTTCCGAGGAAGTCCCGCGATTAGGCCGTGAATCTCATGGGAGTAGCCCGCGATGAATGCCCAGACCAAACTGTGGTCCAACTAAAGCCACAGGAAAGAGTCGGGGTCGAAGCTTCGGCGCGTTCGTAAAAAGTGCACGCGCCGACTCGACCCCGACTCTTTCTTGAGGGTCGCGTTTCGCGACGTAAAAAACTTGGTCCTTTAACATTTCGACAAGGAAAACAACAAAAAATCGGCACGTGCAGCCACATTGTCGGCGACCCTCCGACGTCCTGAGTTTTATATCAGATTCGTGACGAATTTGAAACTTTCTCTCGTCTCAGTCTGTTCAACGCAACGAGCGACTCGATCTGACTGAGTTGATGTTTCCAGGGCAGCGCTTCCCGATTTATTCGCAGCGTGGGACCCCCTCCGAAGTCCTCGACTGTGCTCGGGACCCCCGTGATGTCATTCCGAGAGTAGTAGTCGGTGGTTTCGCCAGACGATAATATTTTCTACTCTTTCGTTGAAGAGATGCCCCCAGTATGGTGAGAGATTCTGACGCGCCGTCACTGGTCGATATTCTTACAAGCCATGTCGAATATATTTTCCCAAGGAACGCGACATGAACCATTTTAGCCGACCTCCGGGACCCCCGAGAGCAGCAGCTGGGAACCCTTGGGTGTCCCGGGACCCTCATTCGGGAACCTATGCTCTAGGGCCTAGTCGTTGTCCTATTGCATGAATCTATTCTGTCCGCCGATACATTTCCTCGGCCGACCGAGAGTGGCTACGAGCTTCCTGGAGTCGACGAGGAGTTCGCTCGAAGCAGTATTTCCTCGCGCCCATATGGCCGTGCAAACATCGCGGTGGTAGACTTCGTGGTCAGCTCCTCTATCCATGGCGCCCATGTACCCGACATATCTACTTATTCTCAACACCAAGGTTACCCTATTTCTACGTGATTTTCAGAATGAAGGAGTTTGACATCGACGAAAAGATGGAGCCAGGATCATCTATACCGACCGCGACCAAGGATATTCAGCCAACATCGAGGATTACTTTGGTTCCGATGGACAAACCGCAAGACATTCGTCGCGTTTGCATGAAGTCGAGCAACGCGAACTTCTCGCGGTCGACTCCGATCGTCAATTCTCCCTAAACTTCCGCAGCATCGCCTTTGAGGTCGAGCACGGTGACTTATTCCTCGGAAGACGAGGAGATTCGTTCCTCCCTCCAACGGACGGCTGGGAAAACGTTCGTATTATGTAGTGTCGAGCCCGTCCCGCCACGATGAGCTCGAATCGCAGAAACAAGCCGCTCCGACGCTGCCGAACGGTGGTACAACCTCAATGTGAGACGCTCTCAGTATGCTTGAATCGTCTCAGGGATCTGTGTGAAAAAGCGACTTTGATAGTCTTCCGAGAGCGGAGTCTTTCTCCAGCTATGGCCGTCTGTCTCGCGGATCTAGCTGGCTCGCTCGCTCCCGACTTGGCTGGGTCATTCGTATGATTGCATGCCCGTATGGAGGCAGAAGGAAGGGCTCGTTTTCCGTCGCGGTTCGCGACCGTGACCGCGATTTTTCCTTGCTATGCGGGGCGTTTCCCCATAGAATTTCTACGGGAGCCTGAAGTTGCCGCGAATTTGCGGCTAAAAGCCGCGACGAAAGTCGAGTCCTAATCATGAGGGAATCAAAATTTCATAATATGAGCATCCAGCCAAAAGACGTAGCGAAACAAATACCCAAAGAAGCTCAGCTCGGGGTCGTTCGGTGGCGCCGAAATTCGAATGCCGAGACCCCGGGGACTGCGGGAGCAGATGCGTGAATGTCCATCGGGAACACAGAGGACCAGAGTCTTCAAGTTGAGCCGGAGAATATCGACGTTCTCGAGAAGTCTCGCTGTACTCGAATAATACCAATAATTGTGAGTGAGACACTTAGTCCGGGTCGAGAGGGAGAGCTTGATAATGGTGGACTTCGATCCACCTGCTCTGAGAGCAAGGACTGTTCTGTCGCCGCTATCGAGGATTTCGCCCCCGACTGCGGAATTCTAGATTATTGCGGAGAATGGATATAAATCATCGTACAACCTCCAATCGAATCCAGCTCAGGGAGCGCTCAGAGATCATTGAGCGGGTGCTTTCGCTTTCGAAGCGATTTCCATTCCTCTCCTCCCTCGGAGAGAGAGAGAGAGTCTCTTTGCATATTCCAGCCTTGTGAAATGTTGAGATCACCGGTCGCGGAGAAGAACACTCATTGGGAAGTGCTATGCGTCCGGCTTCTTAGAGACTTCTCTTCTGTAGTCAATCACCTAACCCCGGAGGAGGGAGCTGTGAGGGTTCCTGAAGCGATAGCCCAGGAACCAGAGAAGATCCTGGAAACTTATTTCTCCCAATCAGGAGCAAACTCCGGACCACGATGACAAGAGGTCTGGCGCCTCCCTTTCAGCTCGATATGGAAACGGAGAATTCGACAGCGAGCTGCTCTTCGGAGTAGCTACTCCGAAGAACTCTACTCCGCGCGGCATGAGATCTTCTTCAGGAGCCCAGCCTCGTCTTTCGACCGACAGATCAGAGGCATCTAGCGAAGCGGACTCCCCTTGCGGAAGGACCAGACTGGGGAATAGTGCCAGGCTAAGTAGGTAGCTAGCTCCGATTTAGGAAGATTGGCACCACGAGTGTGCCTACGCCGCCGGCAGACTCGACCGCGTACACGGTCTTGACTACGGATAACGAACTGCCACTCACTGAAGAGGATAATCTGGATTCCTTTTGAGATCAAGGCATCGATGAGCTCATTTCCTCCTCAGACTGGGACAATGAGCGTGGCAGTAGTCCCGAATCGAGACTCTCTCCGATAAGCAGCAATCGTGCCGATGAATTCGCCTGACGGGTGAATCTGAGGTACACCGCGGAGTCGGTCTGATGTTCCTGGCTTCATATCTCGTTTATCTACGTACACGGGCCTCTAGGGCAATAGGCTCCGAGGTCAAGACCCTCGTGAAGCCCCGAGAGCCGTTCACTCGGCCCCGTGGGAGTCGCGCCAGATGGGGGAGGGAAGATGCTGACCCCCCCCTGAAAGGGACGCGCCATACGTCGGGGGACTTCTCGAACGTCGTACGCTATCTCTCCAATACTATGATGCTTGTCGATCGTCAGTGCAGTCGAGAGCCGCTTTTAATCGCTCGAATGATAACAATTCGAGCCGGCTCTCGTATGAGTCCTTTGCGCGATAATCGTTAGCCCGGAATTCTCTGCGAGACCCATCTACCGAATGTTCTGATCCAGGTCGGGTATCGTCGTTCGATTGCTGTTTTCGATCGCCTGCTGACGATGCAGCGTGTCTAGAAGAGCCGGCCGAGGGTTCGCCAAGAACAATCACCGGCGAATGCCGTCGTCGCTAATCTATTTTGGTCAGACGCAGTCAGAAATCATCTCATCATCGCACTCGTGGTTGGTGTCGGTCTAAAGGAGAGAATCGCCAGAGGATAAACTTCAGACCGAAGCATTTAACGGGAAAGCTCCTATTGCAGTACGCGGTGCCGTCTCCTTATGTGGTTCTGAGAGGATCCCGAGACTGCGGGCAGTGCGCAAAATTCTTCTAAGGACGCTGCGATGGGATCAGAAAGGTTGTCAAGCAATGATGTGTCCCGTTGGGTGATTTCCGTGACTTTGTTTGGAGCACTTGCGTTTTTCGGCGGTAAATGGATTCTGGATTTCCTCGATCCGACCGTCAAGCAGAGGGAGGATGCACTCAAACGCGTAAGTCTCGAGTAGTCGTCGTGACCGTCAAGGTTATGAGCAATTCGGCGCAGACATCCCGACTGAACCCTTACAGTGAGCGCGCGCTTCTATCTCATATGCGTCTCTTCTCGTGACGTGCGCAGAAAAACATAAGACCGATGACTTGACCGATTGAGAGCAGCTCATATCCTTGAATGGAAGCACCACTAACGAATTTCGACAGGAATCGACTCCCTGTGACGTGACAACGAACCAGACCCGTCATGGGGATCGGGGAAAGAGACTCGAGCCTGGCCAACTCCCGCGATTGATATCTTCCGCGAACGAGCGATAGTGTTTTGAGGGAAAACGAGTTCTGGGGACGGGGAAGCGAGAAGAGGCGTCGAAACGGGCATTGCGCAAGCTGTTCGGCTCTCGAGAGTCACGGGGAACGCTTGACGCATGGAGCTCGGGTCGAGCTATCACGTCGATATTCCCGAGGTCCACAGAATCTTGGCAAGTGACTTCGCTCGCGGAGCGAGGTGTATGAACTCGTCGGTATCGAATGCGCTCTTTTCTCGGATCTCAACGTTCCACCCGTGGTTCTCCCAAAGCGTCACCTTGTTCTCCCCCTTCTTGCTCCAATCATGCAGGCGATGAGGGTCACTTGTCGTTGTCAGATAATATCCCGCATGCAGTCAAGTTTCATTCTAGCCAGTCGACGAATCTTGCTGAGGCGGCGTGTTTTCTTTTGCAGGCTCAGAAAATTCTGTCGCAAATCGGCCTGAAGAACATACATCTCAGCGAGCACGAGATGGCAGTCGCTGCGCAGCTCGTCGATCCGAAAAATATTCCCATTAGTTGGGACTCAATCGCTGGCCTCGACGACGTTGTCCAGGAAATCAAGGAGACCGTTATTCTCCCCATCCAGAAGAGACACTTGTTCGTCGGCAACAGTCTGATTGAGCCCCCTAAAGGTGGGAGCGTTCGAGCGGAGCATTCATGTACCTTTTATCTCCGAATATGCAATCGGTTGGCCCTCCTGAGCTTCCCTGGAAAGCCCATACCCAGAATTCATTCACGGACGAAAGAAACATTGCAGGAGTACTTCTTCATGGACCTCCGGGCTGCGGCAAGACGATGATCGCCAAAGCGACTGCGAAGGAAGCTGGAGCGCGTTTCATTAATCTCGATATATCGATGCTCACCGACAAGTGGTACGGTGAATCTCAGAAGCTGGCCGCTGCTGTTTTCTCTCTGGCGACTAAAATTCAGCCCTGTATCATATTCATCGACGAAGTCGATTCGTTTCTGCGGGTCAGAGACTCAACCGACCACGAGGCTACTGCAATGATGAAAGCACAATTCATGTCACTCTGGGACGGCCTGGCGACAGACAACAGGTAAATTGGTCGGAAAGTGACCCGAGCAATCCGTTGACCCCGCCTAGGAAAGAGTCCACGCAGTCAGAATCGTACCTTACAGAAATTACGTGCTCATTATGGGCGCAACGAATCGTCCGAGGGATTTGGATCGCGCTATCTTGCGTCGGATGCCCGCTATGTTCCATATAGGTCTCCCCAACGTCAAGCAACGTGTTGGGATTCTGGATCTTCTTTTGCATGATGAGTTGGTTAGTAGCGAAACCGAGCGTACGTAGATAACCTGAGGCTTCGCATACCCCGTCGCGTCGATAGGGGATACAATTTTTTCGCGAATTGCAGCTCGCTGATGAGGTCGACATCGAATCTCTGGCCAAGCTGACGGACGGCTTCTCCGGATCCGATCTCAAGGAGTTGTGCCGAGGTGCTGCCGTCAATCGGTTCAGATACCTGGCCGGTTCAAGCGACTCCAAGTAAGTGCAGCGCGCGATAAGCGGATCGCCGAGCACGAAATCGGTTGAAGTGATCAATGTGGATCAACTTCAGGGGAACCCTGAACATGGATGACTCGGTGTTTTCGCGTAATATTATAATTCGACGTCTTTCCAGGAACTCCGATTCGAATGGCAGCGATGATGAAATCTTCCACGATGCGCTCCCTCCGATATCACTCGACGACTTCATGAATTCAATAACGAAAATGCAAACTTCCCGGGTGCACGCTGAGCTGATGTACATGCCGACAATCTGAATTCAAATTAGGCAATAACTATCGGAATTTATCTCAGCAACCAACGGACAGCTGGTTCTTATCCTGTGGTAGATCCTGTGTGCATTTCCGAGTCCACGCAGGCTGGCCGAGCAGGCACCAGCTTATATGTCCCGGTTTTTCCCGGGCCGTAAAATGTGTTGCAAAGCTTTCAGTGCCGCGCTCTGAGCTTGATGATGTGATAGACGATGGAGTGACTGAGAAAGTTTGGATCTACTATGCATCGGATCGCATCCGACATGTGTTCGTCAACTTCGGGGCTTTCGAACATGTTGACATTCTGGAGCATGGGGTCCCTCGAATCGGAGCAGCCAGATTTAATCGTCTGCGCTGATTTGTGGATGACAATGTACGCGGTCGCAGAGTCGTGTGAGATGGACATAATGGCAGCCTCCTTCCCTACAGTCTCTCTGGTCGTGGGTTCAGGGACTGCGTCACACACAGGGGGCTTCTCCACTTATTGCAGAATAAGCGGATTGCTCCGTTTTGCTCAGGGGGGAGATATTGAAGCGGTTGGCTGCTCTGGCGAGGAGAAAACGGATGAGAAAATATTTGTACTAATCTCATTTGCGCTGGAGAGAGGAGATGTCAAGTAGTGTAAAAAGGAGACTGATCCATCATCGAAAACTCATCATCTCCATCCATCGCGCGAATATTGTATTCGCGAATTCTGTAGAGATAGAGCGGCGGTGTTCCACCGATCACAGCGCTCGTGGTAGAAGAAATCGGAGAGGGAGATATGCTGAATAGCCAGACTTTATTATTCGAGTTGAGGCCCGATTCGATAGATACTATTCGCGCAGACCCCGAGAGGTACAGACCAGGTTGTCTGAGAGGGAATGAAGAGTACGAGCACTCGATGACCAAACTATACAACTGTCGTCAGTTCCAATCTCCTACCGATATGATTATCATTTCACATTTTGAATCCCCGGAATAAAGTTGTCTTTTTGCCTGAGGCCGAGTCGGCCTCTACTCGAGGATTGAAGATTCGCTTACCATAAGGTTGTCTTTCAACGGTGGGCCGATCACCGAACGCTCTAGCTCTGCGATAGCAGCCCGGAGATGAGGGGAAGGCGAGCCCTTCAACCGTCCGTCCCCGGAATCGCCGTTTCGAACGGGTCCATAGGTACGCTTGTGCAAGGTTTGCATTGAAACACGCTACTCTTCAGGCCATCCGCAGTGGACTCCGTTCAATGAGACCACATCGGGACGGAGCCATACCGGTTTGCGCGGTTGGTCCGACTGACCGGAGTGGTTTTGACTGCGGAACCATTTTCGGGGATCCGGATTCCGGTACAATTGAGCGGGGGGTCCTACTATCCGGTGGTCTCAATGAGGGAAGTTCACAGCTCACTCCAGAGTTCCCGTGCCAGCGCTTCTCCTGTCAATCCCGAATATCAGGTCGGCATAGGCAACGAAAAACATCGGTTTCAACGGGGTCATTGATCTGTCCTAATGTTCACCCCTCCAGGTCAGGATTGAGACCTTTAGCCCAATCAGAGCGCAAGGTGACAGCGTGATGCTGCTCCCAAATTATAGGGCCCATCCCGCGCCCGAAGCAGAACTGCGTGAAATTTCCTGGATCCAGATGATTTTCCGCGAGTTCGCTCGGAGGGGGACGAGAGTTTCCGCACCGCATTGCCAGGGCGCGACTTGGGAAAGGAAGGGAGCAGCCCACACACGCGCTCAGTCATCGGGGACGTGTCGATCTCGCGAACCGTCAACATCAGAGGCGTGCGCTGTTCTCTGCCGGGGTCGGCAGATCGCGCGACTCAGGAAACAACAATGGTGAATCTACGTATAAAATCCCTTGAAGTCTTGCGGCACCTCCCCCGTGTCGCCCTCAACAATCTTAAAGATGTCCCGCACTCGAGCTGGAGGAAAGCGAAAAGGATTCTGGGTTCCAGGTGAGAATTCCCAACCGCATTCTTGAAGCTTCCGGCGACTTTCTCTCACTAGACTCTGGTGATCGCACCGGGTCTTCATTGTCTCCTATATATCCATTAGAAACTCCATCCAGTTTCGTTTTCCCCTATGTTCGATCGAAGGAGTCCTCAATGAGTCCCGTGTTCGTTACTGGCCCGGCGACCTCACGATTTAAACTCATAGCTTGATTCATCCCCAGACGTGAAGTCAATTGGCCACAGAAAGGACAAAAGCAGCGTCAGCAGTATGCGCGACTCGGATTCGCCGGTGGGAGCAATCGGTTCTATCTAGAAGTTCCCAAGGAACCCTACAACGAGGTTCGCTTCGTTTCGTCGATATTGGGACTTGACAGTTTTTCGAGCGACCCCCGTGAATCTTCCCTTGCGTGGTATCTGATACCTTCGGGAATCGACCCACCATTGAAATGAGCGTTTTATCGAACAGGGTCACCAACTCCGGCGGCATTATCCCCCGCTGTCTTTGGGAACTCTGCAGCTGATGATCGACACGGGTCGCATTGACGTGAGTAAACCGATCGATCTCGGTACAATCTGCAATACCTGCCTCTTCAACTGTGAGCCGAAGGATCGGCATTTCGGCGTGCACTTGACAGCTGAAGGTGAGAGTGAGCCATCTGGAACTTCTTGCCTTCTATATTGAGTCCTCTTAGACGTCGGAATTAATCAGCATGTTACCCGATTCCCTTACAGGTATAGACAAGTTCCGAGCGAAATTGAACATTGAGGTTCAGTACGCCAAGGAGCCTGTTATCGCCGCGATCGAACGTCTCGGTGGAGTCATAACCACTGCCTTCTACAACATCTTGTGCGTCGAGGCTAAAGTGGATGCCGAAAAGTTCCTCAAAAGGGGCTTGCCGATCCCTCGAAGAGAATTACCTCCCGAAGACGCCTTCGAGTACTACAGTGACGCCAAGAACAGAGGCTATTTAGCTGATCCGAAAATCATCGCCGAAGAGAGGTGAGCTCGCGTGGAATTAGGACCGAGGTATCGATCGTCGACGATTCTTCCATGTCGGCCGCTTAATCGAGCCATTGGTCGCTCCCGACCCTCGACGCTCGTGAACAACGAACCTCAGTGCTGCTCCTACTATTTTCAGGCTGAAACTTTCCCAAAAATACGGATACGAGCTCCCAGACATCTCGAAGGATCCGGATTTCGCTATGCTGACGTACCGTAAAGATCCCCGGCAAGTCTTTGATGGTCTCAGGCCAGGTTGGCTAGTGAACCTCAGAGACAAAATTGTTCTCAGACCCACTGACCCCGAATATATAAAATACTATGAATCTTGAGTGTGAATCGGACTTGAGATCAATAAATAGTTCTTGACGTTGTCGATACTCTCGGATGAGCCTCGTGATCGCTTCTTGATTCCCCATTGGAGCCAGAGAGGCTTGCGCCCGAAAGTCGACCTCTTATCACCCGATTCGGAACCCTTGCGCACACAACTCCGTGGGCAATACGTACTTTTAATTGCCACATAATCGAGGTGAATGATTGGATCGATTTAAGGAGATACAATAGGTTTATTGATATAGTAGATAATGTTTCACCACCAGGTTATAATCGACAAATATTCAATTTTTTGACATGTCCGACGAGTCCGTCGGAATGGTTTAACCAAGTGGGCAACTTGATTCCTCTCGGATGCTCATTTCTTCTCCCGGGGGATCGATTCTTGCCGATGTTAGGCTCGAAATCGGCTCTGATGCAGAGGGGGTGTTTTCTTTCTCTGCACCGGTGGCTTTCCCAGTTGTGTTCAATATCCGAGTGTGTGTTCGATAGTTTCTCTGTTGTTTGCCCGTTCGTTTGTCCGTCACTTTATCCGTCTGTCGGTATGTAAGTTTCGTCTATACGATGGGGAGAAGGAGTTGGATGTACAAGGACGTTCTTCCCGGCAGCATTCGTCAGATTCCTTTGTCTTCCTATGTCTTAGCCCTCCCTCTATCAGGGACCGACGGGAACGTCTGCCTTCGAGAACAAAAAACGACGACTTTATACAATCTTTCTGGTCATCATCAGGATCATCGATCCCCTTCTGATTCCGTCTGTCATCTCCTGAGCATACACAAAGTTCAATCCGATGTAGTATCAATCATCAATAATAATAATGATGGAGACAATTGATTTCTACCATGATCGTCATCATTATCATTATGCTCGTCTCGTGGTGCTGCAATGTTTTTATTGTTTCCAGCGCCATCTGCTCAATGAACATCATTCTCGTAATGCTCATTATCATCATCACCATTATTAATAATATTATATCCATGTACTTGTCTCCGTTTCGCTGCAAAGCTTCGCCATCGTCTCCCCTTGCTTTCTGCCTTCAATAGTACTGAACACCAACGGCTGTTAATTTCATTTACAATATGCGAATGTTCTTTAAAACAATGCTAGTCTCCATCTCGTGCATCTTTACCATCTCACCTCAGTTTCCGCGATTTTCAAAAAGGAAATTTCGGCTTTATTCTCAAGTAGCTCTCCATTACGCCATTCGAATGTGTTTGTCTGTAAGTGTTTGTGTCTGTCTTGGTAGCTTCACGGATCACTTTTACCGGTGTGCCTCACGTTTCTTCCGGTGGTTCTTCAGGGAAGACCTCTAGTCAGTCGGAACGATAGAATTTTTTGTCCGTGATCGCCGAGCAGCGCTGGCCCGCCATTGGAACTCTCTCTCTCGCCGGAATAACTTCACAGAGACCGAACACACTCCGCTTCGAGCTCGGCTAGACGATTGTCCGTCGGATCAGATCTCTCGGGCTCACCCCGGGCCGCAGGACCACGGCGCCCGACCGAACGAGATTACGCCCGTTACGCGGGGCTGACTGCCTTCGCAGGACGACAAATCCGTCCGCTCATGAGCTTCGACACAAGCGATAGGTATGACGTTCTCAAGCTCATTCGGACAACTCCAAGCTCACGACTCGACAGACCAACCGGAGCGCAGACAATCTTCCCCCTAGAGATTCAGTGCCCTCATCGGGGGAATTTCTTTTTTGTCTTCGCCAAGTTTATTCGCTGAAGGGGGTTTTAACGCCAGCTCGCTCCAGGACTAAGAGACTGGCGATCGATACTGGCCAGTGTCGAGACCCGTCCTCCCGCCGATTGGCCGTGGTCTGTCGCAGCGGGCTCCACAAAATTTCCCACCTTATTGGCCCGAATGATCAGAACCAACGCCAGCTCCACCCGCATTGAGATAGTTACGCTCATAAGCGTTATGTAGGACATCGGAACTTCGAATAATAATGATAATAATAATCGTTATAATTACAATGAATGCGCGTTGTGATTTATGGTCTCCTCGAATTTGTCGTGTTGTTCCTTGTTGGTGTGAAGTGTCAGCTCCCGGTCCATGATCACACGATCGCCACCATGTTTATGTTTTCAGTCATCATACCCATCGTGTTCTGTATAGTGACCATGTCTACTCAAAAGAACTTGTTGCCGTCGGCGCCACTTTCGCCGCCTCCCTCGTCGCCTTACTGAGTTTCTACCGCGACCGGCTGTTCATTCGGTGTCTCTGAGGGCGTGAGCTTCTGTTTCTTACATTCTGAGTGTTCGCTACTGGCATCGACACCGTTCTCCTCTTCGTCTTCGGCCGCGGTCCTCTTGACCGCGCTCGCAGCGATGGTGCTATCTTGCGACGCTTCGAGATCTGATGGTTGTGAGGATTCCTCTAGTAAACTCGACCTCGTATCGTTATCGGTGTTGCTTTCGTGGTGACCGTTCTTCTCGGAAGCCGTCTTCCCGTTTCCGTTACCGTTCGACATGTGTGGAAGGCTGTTACTGTCTTCTTGGCCGATGGTACCATTACTTTGCTGCGAATCTTCGTCACACGATGAAGACACTCCGTTGGTTTGTCCCTCAATAGGACCTTGGTTCGACTCCTCATCACATCCATTGCTCTCCACTTGATCGGGCATCCTTTCGAGCAATTCGGGTTTCAATAGACGTAAGATGTAATGCGTCCAAATGGCGAGCTCGACCTGTGTCGGAAATTCACCGATTAGAGGGAACTCGAGCGAAGACTCACGACTCATGGTCGCGAGAGGAAAGACATTCAGACGATTTTATTGGATGTCTCTGACTGAGTCCGGACGTTGATATTCATCATTCGCCGAGACCCCACCAAATCGAGATGTCGCGATTACTCACCTTATGGGGCGTCCATGCACCCGCGGGATCCTTCTCTACCAATTTCTTCGCGAATTTCTGGTAGTGGTCGGCGTACTTTAGGTACTCGGCCTGTGTATAGTCCTCGGCTTCCACGTCCGGAGTGCTCACCATGCATTCTTCGGCCATATATGGAGCATAATCTGGGTAGGCAGCCGCCAGGATGGCAGAGGCCGTCGCGATTCCGATACCCTTCAAGCCAGCTGAGGGATCGAGGCGGAAACCGAGAGTTAGGCTCCAGATCATCATAATCACGAATCATTACGGAGGGAGCATTAGAGCGAACAAGTCGTTACTCGCTTACGTAAAGCACGATTGTCTCGGAACATCGGCTTGCATAAGCTCCATTATGAAAACAGGCAGTCGACGATCGATCTCAAGTTGACCGTGATTTCAATCGCCGAAGGTAAGAGAGACCTCCTAAAATAGCGAGGTGGTCTCGCAACGGCATTTCGCCGCCTGCGGCGGGACTCACAGTCGACGTCGCGACGGTCGACAGAGAACTCCGAGTATTGCGGAGGTCGAACGCTCCGAGAGGAGCGTCAGTTTCATCTCGGTGCGATCGAGAGAGACGAATCTTCGACGGTTTCGAATGCGACAGGGTCAGCAGAGGAACTCACCGGTCAGAGCTTGAAGTGCGGCTTCGAGTTTAGGCATACGCTTGAAAGCGCGTTGGGTGGTCGTCTTCACGTTTTTCTCAGTGTTGGTTTTCACGAGATCGAGAGACGCAGGCTTGTACTTAGTCCTCATCAACTTCCATTTCATCAAATCGACGAGCTCGCCATATTCCAGGTGGGGATCCTTGCGACTACGGATCAAATTCGGCAATTCCTCCTGATACCTGAGGGGAGAAAGACGAAATTATCACTCTACGGCGACTCAATTATCACAACAATCATCCTCGATTGCGGTCGTCTCTCGCAAGCGAGAGCCGTCCGGAGATTCCACGTATAGAGGGAGATGAGCGCGCCAACTCCTCCGTGGGGATGTCCTAACCTCGTGGCTCCGACCGTGGCCTTGAGGTTATTCACCCTGAATTTCCAGCTCCTCTCATCGCTCGTACGAGTTGAGAATCTCTACGATCCTCACTGAGTGCCGAGCGAAGGTGATCGACTTTCAATTATGACAGAAACTCGAGGAGGAGCCTATTCTTCGCAACGATACGCAATCAATAGAAATTTCTAGAAAGCACTCCCTTTCCGTAGCTTTATTTCATCGTTATAAGCCACGTGAAGACGACCCTACAGATTCGATGAAATATTCCGATTCGTAGAACGATATTAAGAAAACCTCTCCGCCAACTCCCCGGCCCTTCATACTTCATTGATTTCAGGACAGCATCCCCCTCCGAATAAATCGGATTCAATACGAGCCATCTCAAAGAGCACCGATCCGCTCCCATAGATGCATGAGACTCCAAGGAGCTGCACCTCACTCGGCCGCCTACTTGCGACTGCGAACTCCGTGGCCAGAGAGCACCGTTTTATAGCGATGGGCAAACGCCGACGAGGGGTTTAGGAGAGCTGAGGGATCCAGGGCCGAGGGGAGGGGTGACAGACCATGTTCTGGGGTAAACAAATGAAGCCCAAGAACGGCGTGCCGCGAGCAACAAACACCTCAAGACAGCTCGGAGAGCCGGCGCGCGATGACATGTTCGATTTATGCGCGTAAACTTTTGCCCGAATACGCTCATTAGTTGAATTGAGATTAGGAGCGTTTAGGTTCCGAGTCGCTCCTCGAATAGAGAGGCAAACGTTCCGAACACGGACCACGAATCGTGAGGTCGTTCGTCCCCTCGATGACAATAATGACAATTTCACACGAGAATTTCAAAAAAAAGTCACACTATAGGATTCGACTGGGCTGACGCAGCTCGGCTTCCGGGAAGCAAGCCAGCGAGCCAGCGAACGGCCGAGCGAGCCTCGCTCACGGCTTGCATTCGGAATCAACGGGAACAGCACGAAAAAACGTGTATCGAGTCCTCGTTCTTGTCGAGGGACAAGCCTGGAAAAACTCGGGGGAAAACAGCGAGTTTTCCACGAAACCGACAAGAGACGCCGCTCGCCAGCGAGACAGCAGCAGCGAGCCTGCTACCAGCACAAGCAAGCAGGCAGCTCAGTCAGTCAACTATGGAGGCCAGCTTGAACAGCGCTCAAATACGACGTGAAGCTGCTCGGCAATGCTCGTGTCATCTGACACAGAAATTAAACTTACCATGTGTCGAGCTTGAGATACTGTTCCGGACCCCCTTTTTTGGTTCTCTGTTGGGCTTTGGCTCCGACAGCATCTTTGTAGCAAGCGAGGAGATATGTCCATTGGTCGGGGGACGCCTTCTTGAAAAACTGGATCGTCGAATCGTTACTGCTGGCCATCGTTGTTGTAAGGCCGAAGTTCACACTGTCAAGCCGGACTGAGTGGTCGTTCGAAAACAAATGAACTTGCGCTCGTCGGTCTCTATATAGACAGACAGCAGAGGATCGCTAGAGTCCCACAGCACAGCAGCACCAGCAATAGCGCCGGAACGAAGCCAAAGTACTATTCAGCCGGCTAGCCACAGTTTCGATTCGGAGCCGACGAGGGCGCTGCGGTATCCCTCTCCCGGAGACCTCCCCTTTTGGCGAACTCATACGTTTAAAGGTTTGCTTAATTGCATATTCGGATGTTTTTCACGGACTCTCCGACTTAACGTACTCGTACGCACTCCAAATCTGTCGGCGGAGCCCAGATCCGATGAAATATGAGAAAAACGGCGCGAATCCTTTCCGGCATCGATGTTCGCCGCTTATGCGGATAAGGTGGCTGTTTTGAACGACCGTAGAAGCAGCGCCGTAGGCTAGTGTTGAGCATCCCGTGTGAAGGGTGATTTCTGTTTGAAAAGACAGCGCGAAAGGACACTCCGGATCACTCCTGGCGGTTTCCTGACTCGTGTCGGTGTTTAGCGCGGGAAACAATCGGCGTCCTGCGGGAAAATTCGCGGGATTCTCTTCTAGTGTCACATACGCACTTTCGAGCTCTGTCGACAGACTAAGGTCAACGAATGCAGCAGCAACTACACAGCGCCGAGCCGCTGCTTCTGCGGCTGTCGGTCCGGCCAGCGTCGTTCGAAGGGATTTTTTTTTATTCAAGACGTGACTCCTTCGGTGTTTTAAGCTTGCAATCGGCCAGTCACCTAGTGCTTGCATCCAGCTCTGTTCATAGAAAAAAATTCACGACTTCGAGTACGTCGCATGCGAAATATCAGCGGAATTGGTCTCGCAGCCGAGGTAACCGTTCGGTCTCCCAAGATAGGTTGATATGAAATAACCGCTTTCGAGCGTTCTGCTATCTGCTCCCGGGTAGCGACGAGAGAGAGGCCGGCATCTGGCTGCTGCTACGAGCGCCGAAGCTGCTGGCTGGTTGGTTGGTTGCTTGCTTGCTTGCTCTGTCTGTGTAGACGGCAGTCCACCGAGCGACAGCGGCGAACGAACGAGCGGCCGACGGCCGACGACCGACCGACAGACAGATGGACGGACCGACCGACCGACCGATCGTTGTCGACGCCGCCGCCGCCGTTCCCTCCGCTCGTTCGCTCTGCTGGCCGGTCTGACTGCTATCCTGCTGCTGCCGGCAGCAGCGACCCGCTTGCTTTCTCGTTGGTGGTGCTGCTGCGGCCGCCGCCACTTTGGGCTGGCTTTCGAGTAGAGGCTGCGGCGCCGATGGCAGCCGCTTTTTCTCTATGTGCTCGCTGCTGCAGCCGGCGCGGTGATGATGGTGGAGTGCTGGTGGATCGTTCGTTCGTTTGCTCGGTCGCCCGGTCGCTCGCTCGGTCGCTGGCTGCTGACTCGGGATGGATGGATGGTTGGCTGGCTGGCTCACCGGCGGGTCGCTGCTTGCTCGCTCGATCGGCATTCTGCCGCCGCTGCTGTTGTATACGCTGAGCCGTTCCAGCAGCCGCATTGAATCCGGAGCGTCGTCGTCAGAGAATGGCAGCACTGGCTTAGCTCAATGTTGTTGCCAGAGCTGCCGCCGCCGGCCGGCCGAGCGAGCGAGCAGCGACCCGGCGAGCCAGAGAGTTGAAAGAACGAACGAACGACCGACCGAACGTGCGAGCGAGCAGTCAAGCGGCCCATCGACTGGACCTGATGCTCGATTCGTACGCTTTCAGGGCCGCACGTCGTAAATTCTGTACGATCGTACCTCTCTGGTCAGCATACCGTCCGGTCGAACCCTGTGTCAAGTCTATGGGATGCCTTTCGAAAAGGAGTATGAGAGGTGATATTTTGCGGAAGTGGATCTCATAATGGGAGAGCGATGAAGATGATGTTATGATCTTTGCTGAGGGTTCGAGCGCGATCAGGCGCTCCCTGATTTCTTCCATCTCCCATTCATGTGTTTTGAAGCACAGCTGTCTCGGGAGTCAGTTTCACCGGGATCCCTCAAGCCCTCATTGGGACACTGCGAGAGCATTCGGTACCGCAACTTACCATTGATCGAATCCGACCGGTTGATCGAAATCTCCCCGTATGGGAGCCCCGCCATTCTTGATCAACTGCCCGTTCTAAGCCCTCTGCATTCTCTCTTCCTATTCGCGATAATATTGAATGTGGTCAGCCATCACACGTGTAAAGGGAAGATGTTGAGGGCGTACGACTGATGTGGAAGATATCGTTGACCTTGGGAGTTGCTCAGGCTCCCCGGTGAAGAACTTCGAGAAACATTGACGTCGGTGGACCATGTTGAAATCCTTCCTCAAGCTGGACCCTGTCTCTCGGGCTTGCGTATGTCTCGGTCTCCGACGGGCTACAATGCACTCGGAACAGTCCCCGGTGCCCTCATCCTGTGGTCGCGCTGAAGTTCCCGGGCTTAGTGAGCTTCGTGGAGCTCCGCCCCCGAATCCCCATGCATTCTCAAGAAGACCGGCTCGGCATGAGACTTGTCAATCAGTGGCCTCGCTGGGCGCAAGAGGGAAACGCTTTCAGGACGGAGAAGCAAATTCTAGGATGGTACTCGGAAGCTACACTACTCCCACTATCGAGAGATGATGATTGTTTGCTGAGCAGTAGGAATAGCGAGAGTGGTGCCTACTTCTGTTTATTGCACCTCATGCCAGAGGCGCCACTGCCACTGAGCCAGAGGCCTAGTCGTGGCCACGTTTACGGGTCCCACTTTACGGGTGCCAGAGGAACTTCGCCATCCGGAACGGATGTACGGTCTCTTATACCGAAATGGAACGTCAGGAGTTGAATGGTCAGAGGAGGGAGCGAGGGCGACTCGGAGGTTTTGAGTCGATCAGACCTCACGGAACGAATGGGAATATGGAGTCTACATATATGGGCACGCCATGATGATGGGGAACTTGAATCAGAAGTCGGTGCAATGAAACGTCTCCGGTCTCCCGGCGGCTCACAGATCCTCATCATCGGTATGCTCTTGCCTCTTGACAAACTTCGGCTCCTTCGTAGACCGTCGAGATATGCGACCGGGAGATCGGGGTTTGGATATTGAGCGACAATTCCCGCATTAATCACCTCCGCCAGAAAAAGCCGCGCCACGCCTCCGCTCTAATATCTCTGGGCGCCGAGGGGAAAATCGAATCTGCATAACCATCCCGAAGAGAAACAACGAGGGAGGAAAACGGGACACCCTACGGAGGGCATCCACCATGGGATTACGGGAGGTGGCCGATTGTCGATCTACTGAATGGCCACGAGATGCCAGCCTCCGACACAGCGGCTCGGATTCAATCTCTCAGATACTTGCAGCTGAACTGGACTCCAGAGAGCCCCTAGTTTGGGAACCCCGAGGAGACCTGGAACTCCGAGCATGTAGAACCCGACCTCGATCCAGCAAGCAAGCGATCCGATTTACCTCTGGTAGGTTTACGCTCGAGATGCGGGAAATCGAGCTTCGCTGTTGGGGGAGCATGATCTCCGACCGTCCGGGGATCGAAAGTTCAACTGTTCAGCTCCCGGACGAAGCGGTTCGATCGCCGTCAATGGCATGAATGTCCGAACGGTCGAATCCTGCGTGAATTCCCTCGGATATCCCTTATCGTGGACATTTGAAAGCTTACATCTTACAGCAATTCATGCTGACAAAGACCACATCGGGGAGTATGGAATTCGACATGAGCGAACGAACCTCGAGCGAGTCCTGAATGCCTTGCTGATAGGTTCGATTGATGTCGTCTCAAGACGCGGGCGACTGATACAAACCAAGTGAGCGACTGATACAAACCAAGCGTCATTCTTCCCCGCATGTCCTTCAGAGCCCTTCGGTCTGGTACGTGAAGCTCGCCGTTCGGGAGAGGCGGCGCTACGTCCAGCTGAAGGACGATCGGAGATGTCCAGGTCAAGGAGATCGGTACTGCCGAGGGTATCTCGGTCGCGGACTTGACAACTGTCTGAACTTGAGCTAACCCAGCTGATCGCGTATGATAGAGAGAGGGAGAGACCTCGTTCCACAACTTCTACTTCTCCCCGGAAAAATCATCATTCAGAGAGAGGAGCTTCGTCAGCTCGGTATTTCCCCTCGATCGTGGGTTCAAAGTCGCAACGCAGTTGCAGGGATCGCAACGAGAGATGATGATCTTGCCTCCGCGGACGACGCAATGATGGATTTGGGTGTAAACCCTTGACTGCCGTGATATCTCCGTCGAAAACTCTAAATCTATTACATCAGGACCCACTCGCTCTGCCGAACTCAGAGTGTCGGCGTCCAGCTCGGACGGGGGAGCACTGTCTGATTCCTGGGAATCGATACGGATACCAGGAAAATTCATTCCCGATTCTGGAGACTCGATCCGGAAAGCAACATCTCTAGCCGCTCATTCCTTCGGATGTTCATCCATCGTTGCATCGTAGGATCCGCGAGCTATTCGTCAGAGGAGCCCCGTCGAAGTCCTCGAGGGCTGATGGCGATCGTGAGCTGCTCCAAGTGGGGTCCGCTGACTCTTCTGCTCGAGGAGCGGATCGGGAATTGTCTGTCCCGATTGCTTAGTGCGCGGACGCTCTGCAAAACACAATCACTCCGACCTCGGAGCGAGTTCTGCTTGTGGATCATCTCATTCAGCGAAAGAGTGAGCGGGCCATCCCCTATGCAGGATGTTCGTCGCTGTGAGTTTTGTACGCAACCCTTGATGCCGGTCTCGGTGGAGGTGGCTACGGTGATGCTGCCGATGGTGGTGCTGATGATGGTGCTGCTCTATGGAGGATTCCTCGAAGCGCTCGGTCCGAGCTATTCGTCATATGCCTGAGATCCTTCCCCTCGGCATGCTCAGCTCTTCTTTCTCTCTTTCTATCGTTTCGGACGGCCGTCGACGAACTATGACACTCAGACTATGGCAGCGGGCGGGCGGGCGGTCGGTCGAGCAGGCGGTCCGGAGCCGAGCTCCCCCGTGAATTCAGGAATGGATCTTTGGTAGATGATGCTTCTCCGCAGCCGCTGCTGATTCGAGCTGTGCCGCCGAGACAGCCTGTTTATGGTGGAGTGGATTTTTCTTCTTGTTCGGCTCTCACACACATCGCTCTGGCACACATCTGGCTACCCTCTCCTCCATGTCTGAACCACGCAGCAAACAGCCTGACCGAACCATCCCTACCGACCTAACAAGAAACCCACCAAACGAGAACCCGCAAGAAATCCGACCGAGCAAACAGGCGAACCCCGCATGATGCTGCTCGAGGACCACTTTCAGGAATTGATATCGGCGGACTCGACGCCGGCATCGACATTTGATGAGATTCATTCCGGATCCTCGGGAGTTTTCTGCTCGTGTTTTCGAAGACTCCCCGAAATCAATCGACTCCCTCCTCGCCGTGACTGTCCCTATGGACAGAGGCGAGACCACACTTTTGACGGATCAGTCGTCCCCGCGGATCCGGATTGGGATCCCTGATCGTGCTCTTCGAGCGGGTGGGGATCGCTCGGACTTTGTCTCACACGGCCCAGCAATGTTCACTGCCCTCGGTAGCGAGAACGGGGTCCGTCTCGATGACGTCGGATCATGTTGTCCTAGAGCTATCATGGCGATAATTCCGGACCGCATCACAGCCAGATTCGATTGACTTTCTTGAATTATGAGACGGTTATTTCGTCGAAGAATATCACAACGCCCTGGAGATTCTGAACTCTGTGCTCTCCGCATAGCAGGAGGGTGCCATCCCCGTGGAGAGCCCCCCGCTGCCGACGAGAAACCTGGGTCGTTGAAAGGCTCCCGAGCTCAGCTTGCAAGAGATCTTAATCTGCCGCTGATAATCTGACCCGGCATACCCTGGAAACTCGAGCTCATGATATTTGAGGCGTAGGAATGGGTTCTGTGAGAACGGCAACGCATCGGTTCCCGGGAGGAACCGCGCGATTTCTGTCAGACGACAGTAGAGGTTGAGATTGAGGACTCTAGATGACCCTGAGCCTCCTCTTGCAGGAGCAAGGCGTCTCTTGAGGGCCCTTATTCCCTTACGGAATACGTGTCGTCAGGTGGATGTTGATTGTTGGCATCAGGAGTCAAGTCTTTGGATGATCGTGGAGGTCAGCCTCAGGCTTCAACAGATGGGCTCACATAGGAGCATCCTCATATCGCGGAAGCCGCACCAGGGGAGAGGAGCTCGGACTTGTTGATCTCTGGGGCGACTATCGAGCTCAAAGTGAGCCGCGGAATGTACGAGGAACCTCTCGCAACTTCCTCGGATTTCTCTCATTCCCGCCGGTCGAAGAGCTTGCGCGTTTCCAGCACTTGAGCCGCGCAATCGACAATCCATTTTCGAGGACATTACTTTCGCGGACGCATCCGGAATGCCTGACCAGGTCCTGACAATGTGGCGGCGACAGGAGTCGAACCCGCGCTCCCCTCCGCCGTCGCAGCGTCTATTCATGGATTGAATGAAGACAACATAGAATTCATTCCAAGAGTTTCGGATTCTTAAAAACCTTTCACGGAGTTGATCGCACGTTTTGCACCTAGAGTGCGGGAGGCGTAGGGCCGCCCTCCACCCGTCGGTCATTTATGAAGGAGACCTCACTCTTTACGGAAAGAAGATGCTCCATCGACCGAAGCCGTTGGGCCATGCGGCAGTCCATGATCCAAGGATCAAGATTCAAGGCTGTGATCGAAGGAGTCTCCAGCTTTTCATGTCCCTTTCAATGAATGTAACGACCAAGGCCTGCTCCCCAAGTATGCATGAATGGGTCTAGGCTGAGACTACCAACAGCCCAAGATGATGAGAGCCTCGAATGGTGTAGGACAGCGGCTCCCGATCCTTTCTAGCACGGGACCTCCTCCGAAATCCTCGACTGTGCTCGGGACTCCTTGCGATGTCATTCCGAGAGGACCAGTAGTTGGCTTGGCAAGACAATGATCCCTCTCCTTGCATTTCATTGCACAAGCCCTTTCAGTATGGAGGGAAAGTCCGACGCGGTTTTTCTGGTAAATTTTCTTGCAAGCTATATCGAATGTATTCTTGCATAGGATCACAACTTGACCTATTCTCACCGATAACCGGAACCCCCGAGATAATACACGACATCGAGGAGTTTGCACGGAGCTCATTCGAGGAGCCCAGGAATTATATTTTCTAGCATCCGTCCATCAGTATGATCTGATGAACGGATGAACGGCACTGATTAACCATCGATTGCCATAAGCCTTGAAGTCTCGCGGGAATTAGGAACAGAGGAGCAGACGGCGAGGAGCGTCTTGATAAAGCAGGAAGACTTATCCCGGTACATGGAACAGATCAATTGATTGTTTGACGTGGGGGATCGCTAGGGTAAAATATCGGGTCGGTAGGGTCGAGAATCGAAGTGCCGTATCATTGTTCAGCACTTCCTCCAACAGCTGATTCAAGTGCAAACAGAGAAGACTGCTCCGGTCCACGGATCGCTCCTGACATTCGCCGGTTTTGGGCCAATTCTCGGAATTGCACGCTCACGGTTTGCGGGAGACGGAATGAAACGTTCGCTGTATGAGTTCTTCCGAATATGAACTTTTTATTCGACTGGGGACTGACGATCTCTGCTGACACAAGGACCAAGCGAGAAAAAAAGCCCGAATCCGACAGCGGGTTCCATCTCCAGATGGAGACCTTTATCGAAGTTGGTTGCGGCGATTGGAGATGACTTCCTCCATTCAAGGCGCTCGGTCGAAAGGGAAATTCATCTCAAGTTCACGGGAGATGCGGTTCATGTTCATCAATCGAATGCGGGGAGATCCAGCATTCGCAACTCATCTATAATACAGCAATACTAGGCTCGAACTAACAAAGAAGCTTCCACAAAAGAAGGCTCCGTCATGCGGAATAGTCCTTCGACTGTCTGTACACCAAGACAGAAGAAATGACGCACTCTATATCCTTTCATCGGAGCGGGAATATCTCCACAAGGCTTCGAATGGGATGATTCACCGTGCGGTGGGAATTGTTTGGACGACGAACATCGGTGAAATACTACGGCAGATGGTATCCCACGGGTCACGGAAGATGGAAGAATTATTTCAGGAAGGATGTCTCTCTCAGAATCATATTTTCAAGTGGAGCTCTAGGAATGGGACCCGATTTCTTCGGGAACCTCGACCATCCTCCGATCAGATTCTATGAAACCTGTAGCGATATCTCGTTCTTAGACGCGTCCCACATATACTCAGAAATTGTTCTAAAATGCCAAGATCACAGGCTTCGCGGTATGGCAGATGAGCTTCAAATCGAAGATCCCAGGTCAGAGTTCGAGCTATTTTCTTCCGGAGCGTGGCGTTCCAGCCAAGGATGGTGCGACATTTGATCGAGAGTCGGTCGCATCGCAGGATCCACGGAGCACAGCTGCAAGGAAGCTCTTTTAAGATTTGCGTGAAAAGCGCGGCTGGATCGCCGATCTCGGCGGGGAGACGCTTTGTGATTCCCGACTCGTGCTGGCGCATCCAGTTGGTCGAATGAGCGCCTACGGGACCCTCCCGCAAAGCTAACCTGACGGATGAGATCTCTGGCATCGGAATTCACGTAGGCAGGGAAGTTCAATGTTCCTCTGGTTATTGCTTGGAAGGTGAGTTTGTCAGTACTTTGCTTGAAAGGGGGGCGCCAGTCAAGAGCTCGAAGAGCAAAACTCCGAGACACCACAGATCAACCCTGTTATCGTATTTCGCATTCGCGATCATTTCCGGGGGGAGATAGTCGACAGTACCTGCAAGTCCCGAGGACAGCTTCACAGGATCGTTCCGGATTTGGATGGCTCAATCATTAGGGAGGGAAATATCGATTCATTCCGCATAGATTTTACTGAACTTACCGCAAAGTGTCGTTCTCGCTGACGACGGTGCGTGAACGCTCCAACCGAAATCCGCTATTTTTATTTGATCCCCGTCGACAGATAGCAGGAGATTTTCTGGTTTGATGTCCCTGAGGAGACAACGCGGTCGAGCTCAGTGAACAAAGAACTCCGTTAAGATTGAGAAGCAACCCCATGGGGACAGGGGCGTACCAAGATTCTTTCCCAGGAGGGGGGGAGTCCCCTCCTAGGAACACTACTGCATGGGAACCCTCCCCTGTAGGTAAGAGCAATATCGGTTCGTATCGCTCGCGCATACCTATGAATGACGCCTTTCGAATGAAGGTATTGCAGAGCGCTAGCAATCTGTCGCATATATCGCGCTGCCGTGGCATCGTCGAAACGACCAGCGCTTTTGAGTTTCTGGAATCAATGAAAACCTCGGTGAAGAAAATACCGTTACTTGTTCCCGAGCCTCAGAGAGTCCCGAAGGGGTGTTCGATGAGGACAACCAGGCTCTCAACTCGCACCTTGAAAAGTTCACCTCCTGGAGCGTACTCCAAGATCAAGTAGACTCGCTTCTCATCGTGGAAGTACCCGAATAGCCGGAGGATATTTTTGTGCCGTAGGTGGGATTGAATTTCAATCTCGCGCCTAACTTGGTGAACGACCTGAAAGGATTCATCATGGGGAGTGAATAGGAGAGATCTGAATACCAGGATGTTTATCTTTAATTGACACAATAATTCGAAATAAAAGACAGGGAAATGTACCTCAGCCGCCTGGAGTTGTTCTTTGAAAAGAACTTTCAACGCAACGATGAATTTCGATTTCCTCTCTCGAGCAACATAAACTGACCCGAATTTCCCCTTGCCGAGAGCTCGTCCGATGTCGAAATCAGCGAGTTGCCACTTCATTTTACTGGAAACGAATACTTGGAAGATCATCTAGTCCGGAGGCGGGACAACAGAAAAGTCGGGAGCTTATTCCTGCCCGTATCCGCAGAGGGCCACAGAGGACACCTGAAAGCGGTGGTCGCTTACCCTGATGATTTGCTCGCTTTTTCATCTTTCGTCATGATGTTAGCGACAGCGGAGGAATTTTCAGACCGCGCGGAATTCGTCGGACCTGAAAATTGTTAAGATTCAAGGACTTTCGACGGGAAATTCGGTGATTTCCGCAAGATCGATCATCTTGTACTACATCGATTACGTTCTCGACAGAATTTCTCCATCAGAGAGCGTATGACTCGACGGAGGCTCAAAAAGTTCCGGCCCGACGGAGAACTCTGGGGTCAGGCTCGTAAGGATTCCTCACTGGCCATTTGCTCTTCGGAGCTTGGGGGAAAAACTGTCGAGCGGTTTCCTCGTCCAGGCTTCATCGGGGGAGACCCGGTCGATGCTCCTGTGGGATGCGACGGTGGAAAACTCGCGGTCCATCCCTCTCCGAGCTCAGACCTCTGCGAGAATTTCAAACCCTTGATATTCCGATGCATAGTTCATTTCGAGCCATAAGGGTATCTGAATTCCCGCAGAACGATCTGTCTGACCCAACGCTCTGTCTGACGTTGAAGGACCTACATGATTTAATACGCTCTGCGAATTCCTTCCGCGATGAAAGGAATGAAGCATACTGGGGCGGGGAATAAATGAAGAGCAAACTAATGAATAAGAAGACCAACGATGGAAAAGATCGCAAGGTCTCAGCGATGACACCGTACACATCGTTCCGAATCAAGCGGAACTCAGCCCTCTATAGGATTTTGCAACAATAGCTCATACATGACTCGAGCTGTGAGTGCCCAGATTTGAGCGCCGGCGTCCATTTGACGCGCATTACTGTCTTAATTTCATGATATGATCTCCGCAACGAGCACGTCAGTGAAACGTTCGGAGTCGAACACAAAAAATTCCTAACGACTCTTTCGAGCTCGCTCGAGCTCGATCTCGCACTTTGAAACTCGTCTCCTCGACGGAACGACTCACCTGGACCCCTGTTCTCCATTGATGTTTCAATTTAATCGCTCTTCGACCAAAGTTCTCGTGGGAAGTCAAAATCAAGCTCTGAGTATATATGCTGCGTGAGTGTTTTCCGGCAAACAAGATTTAAATCGATGCCGGAAACCAAGCAGACGACATGGTATCTCAGGCACGGAGACCCCCCGATAGGAGTTCCGCGAGGGTTCACGACTAGGAGCGTCTCAGTCCCTCGCTGCGGAACTCTGGAACCACTGACGATCGGAGCGTCTGAAAGTGAGGGACTGACAATCAACTTCGTCGGCTTTATATTATTCTCTGCTGCTGTCGAAGCTCCATATACAGAATGAGTGTGTTAGAATGAGATTCGAATAAGCGCGCCTCGAGAACGAAGTGAAACGTAGCGTGGCCCGGAGAGGGCGAAACCATCAAAATCATCAGCGCTCAGTTGGCAGGAAGAATCATCATTAGTCAGGGATCACACAGCAGCATCAGCAGCAAAGAGAACTCCCCTCAGCAGCAGTAAAGAGCCATCGACCAGCAAGAGACGAACGTTTGAATCTTTCCGATTCGATCACATTGGTTTAAAGTAGTTCAACAATGGCCACCATGAATCCCGAATAGTAAGTGTGCAGAGTTCCTTCACGAATTGACGGTGCGAAACGATTTCGGCCAACTTGTGTGTGTGTCGCCGTAGCAGCAGCGAACGGGCTTAGTCAGAAGCTGCTTCAGATGATGACGTCGTGTCACAGTTGCCAACCAAGAGTTCGCAAATTTCGCTGCAATTCTCAGCTAGCGCTCAATCTGGAGCTACGTTTCGTACGTGACGGCTCTCGGGTTGATGTTGTTGCCTAATGTACTGAGCAGCTCCACCTAGGTGGTACGCATTCGACCCGGAATTCTATCAACAACGTATATCATCTGCTGTCTCTGGTTTGCTGGCGGTTCTTCGACTAATTGAATGGCTGGACCGCTCACTGGCAGCGGGCTAGAGAGAGAAATATTTGCGATGCGTCTTCAGCCTTGCTTCGTCCGTCTACTTGTTGAGTTAAGGGACGGACTCACTGTCAGTGGTGTGAGGAGCTGATGGTCGAGAAAATCTCCGTCAGGCGCTCGAGTAGTCATCGCTTCCATATTTTCCGTCGCTGATCCAGTCCACAGTCCTTATCAGCTCTCTGTGTTTTTCCAGAAGAGGAAAATTACGGGGCGTCGATAAGGTCGGACCCTGTGATTTCAGTTCTCCTTTGACAATCGTTCTGTCCTGGGCCGCAGGATAACGCCGTTGAACAATCTGATGCTGTACAATACTCCGCGACATCTCGGATTGAGATCGCTCTTGTCGAGTTCTCGATGCATCATCAGCGAGAGTCTGGAGTTTCCGCTTGGATAACGTTTTTCTCGGACGATTCCCAAAACTTCAGAAACGGGAACCCCCTTTTACGAGGAGAGGTTCATTTTTTGATTAGAAAGTGTGCTCGAAACCATCCGGGTCCATCACTCCGAGAGCTCGATCTCCGAATGGGGGTCATTCGTTCGCTGAACCCCGGAAAGCATTATTTTGTATGAAAACCGTTCTCAGATCCTTCGTGGAATCCTGAACGCTGATGAAAGGGGTGAGCTCTTTCGGCTAGCCCCGATTCAAGCTTGGCGTCGATTCGATCTTTGGTCGCTCAAGTTGATAGAACATTTGTTTAGCGAGCCAATCACTAACACAGCAGCGAACAGCTTCGCCTCAATTCCTCCGGTCTGATACCATAAAGGAAGTACTACGGACGGGAATTCGACGCGGCCGTTGTTTTAATTTGCGCTTGGGCTCCTCTCGACACAGAATTTACAGGCGGAGTCGCTTGATTAGAAACTCCGGCCGGCGCTTCCGAGCATCAAGGAGAATCAAGTATCTCCCGTGGCGAAAACGCATCGAAACCTTCGGAATGGAGAAAGTTCATTCCTTCAAAGTCTTATGATCTCGCTGCTCTCGGAGAGTCGGCTAATCCCGGAGATGGGTGTCAGCAGTTCGAAGAATTGACCGGACGTCAAGAACTTGATCCCTTTCGCGTGAAAATCGTGCCTCATCTACGCCCAGTACGAACAAATGCTCAAGACTGGGCTTAATCGACTGTATCACGTGATCTCGCTGAAAGTCGTTCTTTACGTCGTCTTGAGCTGTCGCCACTCCATTCTAGTATTCTCTCTGGTTCTTCAGGCTGAGGGCTCACCTCGATGTGCAAGACGAAGTCTGACGATCGTATTCTCCCTTTCCAGCGATTACCTCTTCAAATTGCTCCTCATAGGAGATTCCGGAGTCGGGAAATCATGCCTGCTGTTGCGTTTCGCAGACGATACGTACACCGAGTCCTACATATCCACCATTGGAGTTGACTTTGTAAGTTGCGACACGGATTCTCTCCCTATGAGAAATTATTATCGAGGTGCTGCTCGGCGGAGCTCGTTCATCAGTTCGCATGCAGTGTCAAGGTGACGCTGGATGTCTGTAAACATATCAACTCTTATTTTCCCGCTCGAAACCCGCAAGCCCTTCCTACTGAGAACGGCGACATATGTCTGATCATCAAGTCTCTGTTTCCAGAAAATTCGAACAATCGAACTCGACGGCAAAGTGGTAAAGCTGCAGATATGGGACACTGCTGGCCAAGAACGCTTCAGGACGATCACCTCTTCGTACTATAGAGGAGCACATGGGATCATCGTTGCCTACGACGTGACGGACCAGGAGTCGTTTAACAATGTCAAGCAGTGGCTTCAAGAAATAGATCGTTACGCGTGTGAGAACGTAAACAAACTCCTGGTTGGAAACAAATGCGATCTGACCACCAAAAAGGTTTGTGTTGCATTCGATTCCAGTTTAGCTTGCCGACCTCGAAATCGCGGAGGGGGACTCTGTTTTTCCGGAGACCAGCGGGACATATCCGCTCCTCTCTGACAGGATCGATTCTGGCTCATCCTGTCGGAGATTTAGATCAGACATCGTCTCGATCAGTACGGTGACTGGCTTCTATGTATGACAGTACCACCGCTCGAGCAAATCCATCACGAAGAGGGATTATGGAACCGACACGGTGGCACTAGCTGACAACTAAGACGCTTTGGGCGTCGCGCCTCTTAACCCCATAGGGGTGCTGCGTATCTTCAAGATCAGAGAGTCATCATGCCGGGTAGAAGCCACGCACTCAGCTCCGAGCTGCGTATTTTTGGGAATCCATTTTCCTCACTCACCAGTCTTTGGAATACATTGTCAGAACCGTTCCTCCCCCGATTTGAGTCAAGCAGAGAACATGCGCATTCGAGCCCAAGCCCGAGGAGAACATGCCAGGGGACAACTCATCGATGGCTGGATTTTGTACATTCCAGGTTGTAGATCATTCGACCGCTGCTGAGTTTGCGAAACAGCTCGACATTCCTTTCTTAGAGACTTCAGCCAAGGACTCGACGAACGTCGAACAGGCTTTCAAGAAAATGGCCGAAGACATCATGGCGCGTATGGGCCCTGCTGGAGGAGAGCAGATCAAATCCCAAGGAGAAGGAAAAATCAACCCGTCCAGGCCCGTCGAACCCAACAAAGGCAGCGGCTGCTGCTAAACTCACTCGGGAATCGGCATGGAGATAATTACTATTTTGGGGAGTTTCTCTGGACTGGCACTGGAGTTTTCCGCGGTCGGCACCGAGTGCAGGAACGGACGAGCATAGAAGAGAGCAAGCAGGCACCCAGCGGGAGTGGCGACCGGGGTTTTATTAAGAAGAAGATGATGATGATTCGGGGATGTGGAATGAGTCCGGAAGGTGTTGAGAAAATGAGGAGACAACTACAGTAACAGCGAGTGTAGTACCAAGCATTACTTGAAAAGAAAAAAAACATCAAATAACATCAAGAGCAGCAGCAACATCGAAACACCTACGAACCACATGAACAGGGAGGACAGATGCGGAAGGAAGTAAACGAGGCGAAAATAAATCCACACAGTCTAAGTTATACACAATTTTCCAACGGTGAGTTTTCAATCGGGGTTCACACTCCAAAGCCCGAGCAGGCGAGTGAAGGATCGAGGAACGAGCGAAACATTTCCGAATCCGGAGAGCGCCAAGTCGCTCAAAACGTACAACCAAAGGCCGATAGGATTGTGGAGAGCGCATGATGGAGCGTTTGTCTTGCGGAGCAATGATATACAGGAAAGATTTCGACGTACGTCTCCTCACCGTCGGACTCTAGATACCCAGCACGGCGAATGTCGCAGCGTTCCTCGTGTAGGTCGCACCGACTCAAGGTTGAGCACACCACAGAACTTCGCCAAAGTATGTACCTACGTCAGGCTCCTTGCAACAGCAACAACGTCGTCCACGGATTCGGTGGAAGCAACCAGCGACTCGGTATGACTTCTGTGAATGTTAGCGTTTCGGTAGTTGAGATCGCGAGTGCACTTGAGCCTTATCAGTTCTGTGTCATTGGTTCGGTTGGCTGTACATGTTCTCTCTTCATCGAAATTACTCTGTGTTATTGATTCGTACCGAACATCAACATGGACTGGAGGTTTGTTCCTCTAGCGCGAAATCCATTTTGTCTGCTGGTGGTGATCAAGATCAAATGTTACTATGCTTAGATACGACTATTAGGAATACGATTACTACATTCAACAGAAAACAAGAAATAAATACATACACACTCAAATGCTATATAAAAAAATGATGGACGAGGAATATTGTGTCTGTCTCCATGTTCCGCTGTACGGATAGGGAACCGTACTTAGATATAATATGAGTATATAGGGACTTTCGCAATACGCGACTCCTAGGAGTAAGACTGTCAATATAGGGCCACTTTACCTCAAAATTTGTTCTCAATCACGAACTTCGAAACTTCCCGACGGATCTATATTCTTGAATGCGTTGATCCCGCGAGCCGCACTCGGTATCTGAATTTCATTCCATTCTACCACCGGAGCTGGTCCGTGACGGTCTCCTTGGGCCCACTCAGCGGTACTGGGTGGCTCCCAGCAGTGATTCCCGTATCTACGGGTGCGAAACCTACGGAAGGGATTTATTGGCCCTGATCGCTACCGACTCTCAGGATGGGTATCCCAGACACATCATGTCGATGTAAAGGCATCATCAATGTTCTCTTTGAGATCTTTTGATGAGACGTTCCGCTCGTGGAACACGTAAAAGTAAGATCCCACGGAAAATAGCGCTTTCGCTGATAATGAATCTCGAGATCGCGAGTGACGGTGGAGTCCGGACGCTCCGCTCCACCTTTCTGAATGTTCTCGCCCCGGCAAGAAGCTAAGCTACCCAGGATCCTAGGCTCCATAACCAATTCAGAAGTTTCGACATGCCCCAAGTTCGGCATGGAACACTACCGACTCTTGGTTTCGTTTCGGAAGTCGTCGCAGGCCGAAGACGGTAGACCGCTGTTTCCTGCTGCCTCCGAATCATGATCGGAGGAAGATTCTCCCGCCACGACGAATTATCATCAATCCTGGAGATCAGCTTGCTAGTCCGAGAGAGGACAGTCCGGGTTGATTTCCTGCAGGACGGAGGGCGAGCAAGATTCCAAGTGAATCCTACGTCTTCCTACTCTATGTAGATAGACATCCGTATTTCTACCCGAGAACTTTATTTCAACGAGGGATTACCGGGACCAGTTGTTCGCATTTTTCCTGCCCCGATCACGAACCACGATGAACGTGCTGTGCTGATTTGACGAGTCTGTTCTTGAAACTCCCAGCAGAGCCTTGCTCGGATTGTGCTGTTCCACGCAGAAATCATGCGATGATCAGGAACCGAGCTGCGACGCTTCACAGGCTGTACATGTGGCTCCAGACGTGGCAGAATTATTCCACGAATGATAGAGTAAATGTTTTTTTATTTGATCATTCTTCGTATGTTACACGGTTAATGCAGCGTGAACTGGAGTCGTTCAAGATATTTCGGATCTACTTTTTTACAAGCCTCGTGAATCTCGTGTTCCCAGAGTCAACTCCCCGAGGTTTCGTTCCACGCTTTGATCTTCCAGACTATGGATTATGCTTATGAATTCAGCTCGAAAAGCATCTCGGAGCTCGGCGCCCTACTCAGTGGCACAGATTGAGGGAGGACGATCCATTCTCGAATCCTTCGAGAATATCCCGACCGAGGGATCACAGTCACCATGCTTTCTTGGCGATTCGACCTGTTTCCGAGCCTATCTGGGATGGAGAGAAAGGTGATTGGGAGATTCGGGCGTCCTGCACCAGCGCAGTTCGGAGATCTGCCGACTTCCTTGAGCTGTTTCCGAGCGCGGTTTCTCGTCAAGTATCGATGCTTATCCGCGTTTCTCAGCACAAACACACGTCATCGTCCGCCGCATTTGCCTCACGAGTCACCTGGGAATCGTCGGACAATAATTTTGAAACCCTTCCGTTTTCCTTGCGATTATGCGGGCATTATTCGAGCGCACCCATTCCACGTCGGCGCCGCCCCAACCTGTTCGGGAACTATATGATCGAGGGACAGATGTCTGGCAAAGGCGAGAAATAGTCTCACCTTGAAAGCGTCCCTGTAGAGAGCCTCATCGAGATCACGAACCCGTACTGTATGGACAAGATGTTTGGCGATATCTTCGAACATCTCCTCTACCCCTTCACCGGTCTTGCACGAAGTGCGATAAACACCGGACACCATGTTGTGGCACTGCTCACAGAAGGCTTCGATATCTGCTTCCGACACGAGCTGGAAAAAGTATGTAGCATGTCTTTTACTTGATCGTTTGGACCGGGGATTGCGTCTCCAAACGACGTCATTCCGCAGCAATGAATCGCACTCGCGGTTTCGTACCTGGGTGCTGGTGTCGATCTTGTTACCACACAGGAAAATTTTCGCGTTTTCGGCATAGCTCACTATATCGAGCAGATGCTGGGACAGAATGTTGAAAGAATCCGGTGAATCAAAGGAGAACACCAGGATCGCGGCTTCAGCGAACTTGTAGTACGAAGATGTTATGGATGCAACTCGCTCCATTCCACCGGTGTCCCAAAGTTGCAGCTGTAAGGGTTGAGATGAAGTTCACGAGGCAACCGATTCTTGGATGCGACATGGCCCGAGGCGGAAGCTCAACCTTGCAAGGCGAGATCCGAACCTACCTTTATTTCTCTACCTATGACTTTGTAGACTTTATCGTAGTGATCTAGTCCAAGAGTTGAGGCTCTATCCGAAGAGGCCACAAAGGTGTTCTGAGCGAACCTCCTGAACAGCGAGCTCTTCCCCACGCCGTATTCTCCGCAAAGAATCACCTAAAAACAGAGAGACGTTGCAAGTCTCCGGGACGACACTCCCTCACGATCCTCTCGGGAATCAGAAAGTCTCAGACCTCAGGTACTCACTTTCTGCTCGGGAATCCGCGTGCTGGCCATTTTGTTCTCTAACTCCGAACGGTCGATCCGGGTCTCGTCGCAAGACGCAATCACCGTCAGGTAATTTACTATATACAGCTAAAGCTATTCGACTCCGACGAGGGCGACGATCTGAAACAAACAGCATATCCGTGAGATGAGCCTCATTCGCATACAGACCATCGACGAACAATACGACGGATTCTACCGGGCATAGCCGCTGACAACCGCGAAAACCATGACGCGGCGATGGGGTCGAATCCATCCCATGACTCATCGACCTGTTCGTCGATGGATCGGCAGCAGGCTGCGGTGTTACGTATCCCCGTACAGCCCGAATCGGGATTCCGGTTGCAACGGTTCCCAGTGAGAACATGCTCGAGCCGTCGGAGTCGCGCAGGAATCGTCATCGATAAGTCGTAGGTTCTGTCATATCTCCAACGGAGATTCGCGCAGGAAAGCAATCGACTTCCCGTTCCGTGAGGACGGAACGCGAAGCGTAACACGGTACTTTCCAAGCAGTAGGTTTTCATAACACTTGGGAAGTATAACTCCGAAGAATTCTACCTTGGCGAGAGTCACAGCAATTTAGGTTCCCCTCTGTCGTGGTCATCTGTGACGGCGTAGAAACTTAAAGACGATTTCGACATTCAGCTCCAAGTCGGAGATCATTTCTCGTCGCCAGCGTCGTGCGGAAACGGCGCGACAGCTGACGGTAGAGGGCTCTCCGGACAGCTCCTCAACGTATTCGGTCGCGAATCGGATGAAGTTATAGGGGCTCGAATCTGAGCGTCTTCTCACTTAGACAGCGAGCGAAGCCGAGCCGAGAGCAGCGGAGCCTTGCACGCTGTTCTGGAACTCTGCCCATCACGCAGAAGTCGAAGTGCGCACCGATGCCAGTCGAGTCTCTGAGCACTGGCACGCAGAGCAGAACTCGGAGGGCTCTTTAACCTAACGACACATCCCCGAGTCGACCGAATTAAATCGAAGAAACGAATGTCTCTCTCTCGGAGCCACAGAGATTCTCTCTCGTGATCAAGTGATCAAGGAAAGCTCACCCACCTTTTTACTCGAGCTTCAGTGGGATTCTCTGGGAGCCATTGACGACGGCAGAATCATCCCGTTTGCTCTCGAAAGCTTTGTCTGCACGAATAGTTTCCGACCCAAAGTTGCATACTTGGAAACTCACAGATGGGAACTCCTAGTGAGAGTCCTCCATCGCAACACCAACAATAATATCAGGGTATAAGCATGAGGCGAGAGCAATCGACTGTCTGCCCCGTTCTCCTGACGGCGCCATTTTCAAATGACCTTTACATGAGGGCGATTGCGCGTCCGAGGAAAACATGGATTTCCGCCGAACCGGCGCGAGAAAACTCCGTCATGGATGCGTAGATGTCACCCGATCGGGTTAAATCGCGACTGCCAGCGAAAGATGCATCTAACGATGTGCCTTGACGAAGCTGATTCTGTACAATCGCCGTATGCGTCAGTCGAAGGAAGCGCCAGATCTTCAGGAATCACGGAACCTCGGAACCTATTTTGTCTCCAGCTGCCGAAAAAGTGCTCTTGACGCGCGGAGATCCTTCCTCCTGAGGGTCACATCTCAAGATTGTACGTCGTTTGGCATAGACTCTTGGATACCCACCTGCGAACTGCTCGACAAGTCAAGCCCGCAGCCTTGCGAAGAGACAGGGTCTAGACTCTAGACTCTAGAGTCTAGACTCTAGATAGGGGAATTACTCCCTTGAAATCGTCCGAAGCTCGACCGCGGATTCGTGGCATCAAAGGCTTTCATTGAAGATCCCTCGATCGCCCTCGAGTCGTTCTCGATTCCAGGAACACCCGCCGGCAATGAGTGTATGACTCCCGAAAAATAGAGGTCACGAGGTCTCAGAACTTCAGGGAGTGAACGACGGAAGGAATGTGGGGAATGGAGCATGCACGAGAGGGATATTGAAGATGGCATATAGATCGCTGATACCAAGAAGACCGATTCGTCCTCCGGGACCTGTTGTCCAATCCGAGATCCGGTAGCGAATATTAATTATTCTGCCGGGCTCAGTGGGCTCGGATCCGTATTTAATCCGTATTATTTCGAGGAGCCCTGATTCCCCCAGTCAGCTCCTTGGATGGATCGGCGCGGAAAGATTCTTCTACTTGAGAGCATCAATTAGGCGCCACTACATATTCCCCGGAATATCAGGAGTCCGAGACACGCGTCAGCGTGAGTCCGTGTTCTCGCGCCGCCTACCTGAGTACTCAGACGAGGTATCCGGCCTCGAGTAGGGAAAAATCCGTGAATGATCGGTGGCTGATCTTCGACCCAGGATCGCGACCGCGAGCCGAATCAGAGTGAGCCTCGAGTCGTCATTCGCACCGCTGTTTCAGGAGGTCCCCTCGATCCGGAGATCCTGTCTCCCGACGGAACACAGACGACTTTTGCCCTCGATGTCTATCAAGACATACAATCGGAAACTACCGACGCGACGTGATTGGCGAAGGATGAGGCCAGACCTCGTATGGTGAATGCCAGTTCGCGGAGAGATGGGAGTTTGGAGAGAAGGGCGTGTGCGTAGAGCACCGTTTCTTCACAATCTCCAGATACCTGCCCGCACCCCACCGGAAGAGTCTCCCCGGCCCGCGGGGGCGTGGCCCCGCAGTTTGAGAGGTCCTGCGTCAAGGGGTATTGACGATCTCGACGAGTCGCCTCGCTAGAATCATAGCCAGTCAATAATCATGGCCATCATTCCATTGGTGTCAACATGGCTGCCGTCTGAGAGAAGGCTCTGTGTGGTGATGTCAAGAAGAGCTCATTGAGAAGCGTTCCCTCCTCAACTTACCAAGTGAGAAGTTTCGGAGTGATCATATCTCGGGAGTAAAAGTTCGAAGCAGTCAGCAATCGTGGGGCGTAAACGATACAGAAGTAGGTTCAGCGATATTCCGCAGACCATGTTGCGATAGATGACTGGTTCCGTCATAAATGGACGATTGACTTCCAAGTCCCTTTCCGACGCTCTCGTCATCATTTGAAAAGTCAATCGAACCTATGATCTTATGATTCTGTTCCTGGAGAACTCTCATCGTCTAGTATGGCCGAATATTGCCTTGGCGTGGAAGCTGTACTGGATGAGTCGTCCATGTGATACTGGATCAATCTGACTGAGATAGGCTTCATTATTTACAGAAGCAATATGAGTACCGAGCCCTTACCGGAGCCACCACCACAAATGCTCGAGCCCCCGGTCATGCCCGGGAACGAGGAATCTTCCGCGTGAGTATATCTACAAAAGCTGTTACTTCGTTTATGGTGAACTCACGCAACGGTACCGACTCTGTCTGTTAGAGCAGGCCATGTTTTGATCAGCGTCACTCCGTCTGGGAAGACTCTGTTCTGTTAACTAATCCCATTCCTCTTGTCGTTGAGATTTCACTCGTGAGTCCATTCATGGGGAACTCTCACTTTCTCGAGCAGGACACCAGTGTCATTGAATGTTCAATGTCTCATGCGTCGTTATCGTGGCATTCTCGATCGTATTCATTGAGAGAAAGTGCCACTGTGAGGTTCAATCCACCACTCTGCGCAGAAAGAAGATTCACTGCGCAGTACGCCGATTCCGATGACGTATTCCTAGTTACGGCGAATTCTAGGTAAACTTGCTCAGCGCGAGATTTCCTTCAATACGTTTCACGGGATGAAGCTGGGCAGAGCGCTCAACTTCTCCTAGAGAACCGCTGAATCCCTAATTCACTGACATCCATTTGGGAGACATGAATCTGCGCTGTGACGAGTCCGTACCATCGCTTGTAGTCTTTACAATTATTCGGAATCGATTCGGATGATTTGAGGACACAGGCATATCCTGACGTTAAGGGGCTGGGGATGTTGATAGAAGAACTCGAATTGCAGGTCACCCGACATAGGCTCATCGCCAACTTCGGACGAATGCTCAAACTTCGAAGAAGCTTCAGATGCCCTCGAGGAAACCGAAAATTCGCCCAGAGACGAGTCGAATCAAGATGTAGCCAGAAGCGAGGAAGCCGATCAACGATTGAATCTTGAAGACGAAGAGTCAGAGGCGGATCAGGGGAATCTGGTAAATATTATCCTCAATTTTCCTCTCTCGGCCGTGAGAAATCCACTCTCCAGCTTCCTCCGAGCCAGGATATCTATTTTCGAAATTCGGTCCTCGAATTTCCCCCTGTCTTGCGGTCGCATTCGGGGAAACTCTCGATCCCTGAGGAACAACTTGGTCGTAAATCCGACACATGTGATGAATACGCTGCTAATATCTTAGTTCCGTCCAAGTTGTAACCATGTAGTAGCGCCCAAGTTCTCAAAGATTCCCCGCTCAGTAACGCTTGAATTCCAGTTCTCACCGGAGGACCTACCAGACGTGATCGATCCATCTCTCTTGGACTTCGGTCAAGACCCGGAACTCGAGGATGAATTGCTCAGATGCATCCGGCTCGCCTCCTCGAAAGAAAGTAGTGCGAGGTCAGTACATATTTATGGTTGCGGATCATCGAAGTCTCTGCGACCGATAAACATACGCGGCCTCTCGATCGAGATATACGCGAACGCTGATAGTTTTGCTAGCGTTGTTGTGATCGACCCATTCATCAGTGTTCGCAAGAGACCGACGAAGCACTTCGATGTCACGAGTTTCTCTCATGGAGTGATCGGAGCGACTCTTCCGGTCGCGTCGGAGGTCCGAAATTCTTTGCCATATCTGATTCGAGCGAGAACTCCCGAATGATTATCCAGAGATATGGTGTGTACGCTTTGTCATAGCTCTATTCACATCCGATGCGTTATTCGATGTATGCGAACGACGGGCTTTTGGAAACCATTTTGCGAATCTATGGAATATGGGGATCCCCCTGACTCATTGGGACCCTGACACGCGATGAGGACGATGAGCTCGGACAGAAAATCAGGGAACTCATGGCGAGAGTGACTCAGCATCTGCCTTTGATCAGGTCGCGAATGAGATCCTGACGCGGGTCAGCGAGAAGGGCTTCCCTTGAACAATGATGAGCAAATGGCCCTTCCGGTGCGGGAATCCCGGTGGGAATTCTCGCTTGAATGTCGTATAGCCCGTGACGCAGGAACGGAAATAGCCTGCGCAGCAATCGGTGTCGCGGTAGATTTTTGTTCGATTGGTACCTTTTTTGAAGAGGGACGTCTTTTGTTTCGGGTGCATGTGTCATCCGAGAGCTGTAGACGTTCGAGCTTACTCATCAGTAATCTATTCCTACTTTGTACGGATGACGTCACTCGTTCAAGAGAGAGCTGTCGGTTGTACGTTCAATGAGATTACTCCGATATTTATTTGGCTCAGACACAAAGAATATTCAGAAGCTCTTAGTCATCCGTCCTCTACCAGGGCCGCTGACCTCTATGAGAACTTCAACGTGGGCGGTTTCATTGCAAAGCTCGACTAATCTGATCAAGGCGCGGTTCGGAGTCACGAGGAAAGAGCCTGGAGCTTGTCGGAGACCCCCGACACTCATGGGGTGGGGGTAGGTGTCCGCTTGCGTACAACACGTCGAACAGAAGGCAATGTCAACATTCTTTGGACTATTGGAGTTCAAGCTAGTCGATATGGTCGATCTTTCCACTGATCCATTCGATATACGGTCTGCAGCAAGCTCTCCGCGATCGCTCGCCTGCCTCTCAGCGAGGGCGGTCTGCGCGCGCTCTTGATAGTCCCGCGACGGGAAGCTCAGCGACCGTGGGGCTTCGGATGCGCTTTTCGAAAGTTGGCGCTGAAATCCTCCCCTCCCGGATAACATTGTCGATTTCGAGCACCAGGGGGCGCTCTGACATGATGCTCCCGCGCAGCTTCCTCCCTCGAGATGAGAGGAAGCCATTCCATGGCCGCCGCCACCGTCGCCGCTGCTCGCTGGCGGCGAGGGAATTCCGACGTTTGCCGCCGCTGCTGGCGCCGCCGCCACCACCGGCACCGTCGTCATCGGCGGCTCTCTCACTCGCCCCGTGGTGTGCGTGTTCCGTGTGTGTGTGTTTGCGTCGCGGGTTGCTTGCTCGTCTGGCGGCGGCGCGGCTGCTTCTTGACTGTTAGCTGGCTGGTCGACTGGCTAGCATCACAGTCAGAGTTGATCATCACCGCAGGCGGTCGGCCGAGCAGGCAGTCGGTCTAGCAACTCGCTCGGTCAGTGGCGAACCGCCTTTCACTTCACGGCGTCCACTGTTGGCGGCGGCAACGAATCCGAGCCCTCTTGCAAACGGAGATTTCACGAGGATTCCAGCGCGCATCGTTGTGCGATGGCTGTGGGAGTCGTACTCGCGATGGATGGATTTGCAGTGTGTGATGTTTTCTCGCGATCCGAAGCATCAAAGTCGGATCGAATCGATCTCGGCTGCGGTCGCTGTCGTTTTAACGGTGGCGCACGTAAAATCCCGCCGCCAAGAATGCATCGCCGTTCACGCGGCGCCAATCAGTTCGGAGGTAAGTGGATTCCGTCCGTCAATACTAGATTGTCATGAAGTCTGGGCGCACGACGCTGAGCAGTCGAATCCCGCGATTCACTCCCCCTCTCGGTGACTCGACGTATCAAGTACCTCGGAAAGGATCTCTAGGCGACCGATCAGGGGCCGAGAATAGCTTCAAAATCAGAGTTCATCAGGATAGATTCTCGATTCGAGTCGCGTTGGGAAATCCGGCCGCGTGGTCCGGGAACTCCAACCAAAACGCGCAGCTCCATTTTGCGGTCGAGAGCGGACACCCTCGTCGACGACTGTGCCTCGGGAGGCTCCCGAGAGCGTGCCCCCACCGAAATTAGATATTGCACTTTTGAATGCGGATTGACATCGTTGTGATAGCGAGGGACGACGTCGAGAATCTGAACGCGTGTTTGGTGCACGCCGTAGGAATGTTGATGCAAGCGTGCTTCGTTGTCGAGCATCATCATCAACAAACCCCAGCGTGATAACGAAGAGCTCCCCTCTCGCCATCGGATCGGTCTGCGTTCGATGCGTCCCCCCTGATTTTAAGGAGAAGTTAATTGGGAAAACCTCAAGGAGGTGTCGCGAGCAGTTAGGCAAGCGGTCGGTCAGTCAGACAGTCAGTCAGTCAGCAAGGGAAGCTAACGATCAGCAAGCAGCACTGAAAGGAGAGGACGCCATCTTCTAGTAGCAGCGGCGGCGGTCGCTTCGCCATGAGCGGGCAGTGCCTCACGCAGTGGATCCCAGTGTGCTGTACGGACAGAAAGAACTCGACACAGAGTCTCTCGACACATATACATACGTCGAATCGGAGCAGAGATGGGGCTACGGAGCATTCGAATATTTTACATTTTTCCAACTGAGGACGAGGGTATTCCGGTGGAACCTCGGTGCCCTCAGCATGCATTCATTCAACGGTCGCTCAGGAGATCCTCTCGCTCCTCACTACCTTGTTCCTGGTGCCAGGGGAGAATTTCGATTACTGCGAATTACCGAAATGATGATTAGTGGAATTTTCTGCTGATTCCGAACTTTCGGAGACGATTCATCCGAATCGGACTGAGTCCGCTCTTCTGCGACGAAGACCGGAGCGCGCGTTTCGGGCTATCGCGTCGAGAGGCAGGCGCGACATTCTGACAGCCTTGTTGGGTTTCCATCGTCTTCCGCTCGTCGCTCTGGATATTTCATCCTTGAGATATTTGGTGGAGGCTCGGTGATTGATTGGTCGCAATCGACAAATTCTCATTAGGGAGGATACATCATCGGGAAAATTATTTCCTTTGGAGCAGTAGAAGAGCAAGGGTCCCGGGTGAGGACTCCGAGTCTACTGGGGAGCTTGGTGCGCGAAGCGATTGGGCATGGGTCTGGCTGCGATGAGGGCGGCGGTCCCCGGGACGGCGACCGAGAAGTCTCGAGACGAAAGCTCGAAGCATTGTTTTTCCCATGTTTTACTCAAGGACCCAATCCAGTTGTACTTCGCAATACGAGCAGGAATATTGGATTGTCGGAATACGGTTTGTCATGGAAATACTCGGCGTCCTTCTGGCAGCGCACTTCCGATAACAGACGCCCCCCGGGGTCCGGCCAGGTCTGTCCGTCCGCGCGTCTGTCCGACCGAAGACTCGTCCCTCCGTCAAGAGTTCAGCAACCCCTGGACCTCTTTTTGGCTGTTCTAGGTCCGTCGGTAGAATCGTCTGTCTGTCGATCCGGCTCGTGTGCGTAGCTGAACCGCCGCCGCCGCCGTGGACGGTGAGGCAGCAGCAGCCGCCGCCCCTTGTACGGACTGAGAGAGGTTGTCGAGTCGTCGCCATCTTGGATTCCCCACTCGGCTCCAGAGCCACCATTGGAACACAGGGTGGGGTTGCCAGCCTGTTCACCGATTTAGTAGGCCGGCGGTTCGACTGGTATTCCGGTCTTTCCGCGATCCCTCTGATTGCACCTCCGATCGAGATCGAATACCGAAGGCGACACGAGCCTCGTTCGTGGGTCTGAGCTTGGATGGATCAACTAGCCACCATCGGCGCCGTCTCCTCCTCCTAACGTCCTAACCCAAAGCATCCATGAGATCATTGGACTTGACTCGCATGCGCGTAGCCGCTTCCGCTGAACCATGACCAGCATCCGAGACATTGGGTTTCGTATGATTCGAAGATTCCGCTCGATCAGCCGTCGTCGTCCCCCTATCAGCTGACTCGAACCGAGAATCGTGCAGCCGGAGAGATAGCTCCGAGTAACGAATGAGTCATGGGAATCCCCACGCAGAGGGAGCATTACTTTCGCTTCGTCGGAGGCTCACTGTTTGGAATGATTTGTGATGAAATTATAGGGCTGACGGTGATGTCAGCAGTGGCGCGGCGGTGGTGGCAGAAGCTCCAGCCGTTATTGTAGCCTTGGATACAGAGTTCCAACAACGGAAAGGAAAATGCCGTTAGCGGTCTGTCACGACCGACAACATCTCACTACCGACGGATGTCGGGGATGGGCGAGAGCGATGTTGAAGACGGCGGAGGCGGCGGCGGCAACGATGATGCTTATGGCATGGCATTTATCCTCTCAGCTCGCTTGGAGACTCGGTATTGCCGGCCACCGCATGTTTTACAGCTCGTTCGATCCATACATGCTTGAATTCGTATGCTTCTATGGCGGGTGCGAGGAGCACGTGACTTGCGTGGCAGCGATCTCCTCGCTGACGGCGACGACGACGTCGACGTGCTCTGAGCCATCGTACGATGGCCAATAGGAAAAGTGATGAAATGATCACTTGAGGCGCCATTCGTCGGTCGTCCTCCCTCTTGCCGTTTCTCTGCGATATTTTCGGGACAATGCGTCGTGTTTGTGTTCTCTCCGAGCTCCGATTGTCTCTCTCGCTCTCATCCGGTGCTTTTTGGCCTATCTCGTATCGCTCAACGCATTCACGATCCTGAACCCTCTGATCACACACAGACGATACGAGCGAGTAATAACCTGCTATAGCTCCTCGGCGCACAGTCGGCTGAGGGCGTCAACGTTAAACTGGCTCAGAAGCGGAACTCCGACATCTTGAGACAACAACGGTTGACCAACGTGCGAGAGACCGTCGGGACTTAGACGGTCCTGTTGAGGCTCTGCCTTTGCCGACCTTCGCTCGATTGCGTTTCTCTCCATTTGCACGGAAGAGCCGACGCTGGCTGCTTCAGCATTCTATGGAAGTCCGCGCTCTCTCGAGGATTCGGTCGCTGTCTATCTCGGTGCAGAAAGTGTTGTCGGAGGAAGAGCCGACAAGCACTCTCACGTTTCCGGAGAAAATCTCCTGCTCTGACTCTTCGTCGCTTCTATCTCTTCCATGGTGTCTGACTTAGTCTGGCCGGTTAGGGGGGCCTCCTGTTTCTCGGCCAACGAAACGACCGACTAACTTGAAGCCGCAGATTGCTTTCTGTCTGCTGCTCCCACCCCACCTCGGTTTCGAGGCGAATATTACTGCGCATTTCGCTGACCTATGCTAATGTATCGCTCTCTATACGCGATCAGGGGAAACTTCGAGTGTCTCATTTGTGAGCTGATCCGATCGAAATATTTGCGGTGTTGGAAGGTCCACATGCTGTATGATTCGCAGCGACTTTCGAAGTCCACAGGAATCGTGGATTTTTCGCCGGGCGAGGGATACTGCACTTGTCGCCGGACTCGTATGAATAGTTGTTGTGAATGCCGTTGTGGTGGCGATGTGAATCGGTATGTGGGGAGCAGAGGAGCGGCAAAAAAAACTACAGATGCTAACCGAGTTCTGAGTGAACGGCGGCGCCTCCCGAACCGCTGCTCAGCTGAATCTGTTGGCCGGACGAACGGCGTTCGCTCGTTGGCGCTTTCAGTTAGCCAGTTGTCCGGGTGCTCTGTGTCGGCTGCGAACCTCCGAACCACCGTGGTCGAAAGCGGTCGTGGCGGCGACAATGATCACTGGATTCCAGCCAAGAAACGGCTCAGCCAGGCTCTTGTCGACTTGAACTTGCTAGCGCAAACGTCACCGCCATCGCTGCCGCAGGCTCCACCGCAAGCGCTATCCAGAATGCGTCCGCAAATGCGTGCGCGGATGCTCTCACAAATGCGTTCGCGAATACTTCCGCAGAAGCTTTCGTCAATGCTGTCGGTAGCGCCCGGAGAGCAACCCGACCCGAGTTGTCGAGCCGAGAGCAGCTCGGTTCGTCTCTCTCGTGCTCGACGAAGCGGACGGAGTCAGCAGCCGCTGCATCCAGACCCAGCCGACAGTTTCCACGATGTGCCGCTCGAGCTCCGGCTCCCTCCGTCGTTCCCGAGCGGACCCAAGCGTCTGCGATGCCTCGTGGGCTGCCCTCTGGAATCGGAACACCGCCGATTCAGGTCCTGGCCCAACAATGAATGAGTTCGACCGAGTTCCAAAAGCACTCGACAGGTGATTCCTCTGCGATTTCACTCCGGGTCTTGATCCGTCCCATATCGATTCACTAGGAGGGAGCGGATTTGATCAATCCATCGTGGGAATCTCGAGATATTTCGAATTTTTCCCCACAAGCGGAGCTTACGACTAGAGACGGAATACTCTTTAGAGCATCCCCGTTGTTGTTGGTTATTTGTTTTCTGAAGATTCAACCGAACGCGATCGATAAGATAAGCGCTGACGCCTGAAATTGAAGAGGGCCTGCTGCTTGTCTCCTTTCTCTTGTGCTCAAGTTCACTATGATAATGGAGAGCAAGGCTTACGGCGTCGCGTAGTTTATTCCTGCTGTCGATGAGACCACAATAAGCGGGAGTTCCCTCCCTTCGCCGGTATGCAGCAAAAACTGCGAGGTTCTGAAAGGATCCGCAGCGATGCGAGATCGAACTTCGCGTGCGAATACGGTGCTCGTCGCAAAGCGGTCGATCGATCGGTTACCCACGAATCGGAGTGTCCGCGCGAGAAGGAGATTTCGCGTGATGAAAAGCGTTTCGTAAGCATTTTCCGGACAGTTTCAATTGGAATCATGCCATTCCTCCTTCTGCGAAGATCCGCTCGTCGAGTTGAATTGATCCACTCTTATCGCTGTCACAATGGATCCATCGACATTTTTCGCTTCTTTCCGAGCTGAGAGGAGCTCGCCTCTTGCCCGCGAAGTGCTCTCGAATTGAACAGCGCAGTCATTTGCTTGTCACAAAAGCAGCCGCGATTGCGCTTCATCCCGCTTGAGGACCAAATCACCGCCGCCGAGAGGAATTCGCTCCTTGGGAGTTTGTGGGTGTTTGGCGCCAGAATGCGAGCGTTCGACCGAACCATTCGAGGGCAAACACTATAGCATATTGGTGGCGCGCATAAGTCGGCTTGTGCTCCTGTATGTTCGTGCCAGCGTTCAATTTTGCTCTCGCGATGGGGCGAATACGGAGCTGTGTTGTCGCTTCGGGGGCATTCCGTTGACGAAGTGGGGTTCGTTGCGAAGCCTGGCGCTAGTCGACTGGCTCCTTCTGGGGTGATCTTGGTTCCTCTTTCTACGACGCCTATCCAACAACGAGCGGGCAAGAACACAAAAGAACTTCTCTCCCATCGGAGTTACTCGAAGAAGAAGAAGGACAAGTTCACCATGAAAGCGGCTGCGTTCCCGCCAAAATCTGTGGTCGCCTTCGTGGAGACGCGTGCATGCGGACGCTTCTGTCCGGCTCTTGCTGAGAAACGCTCCGCTTCCCGGCTTGGAAGATGGGAGTTGTGGAAGTGAACTCTCTAAATTGGAGTCTAAGATCTCTCCATGTGAACTTGGTGATTGGTCGGCGAGCGGGTCCGGCGTTTCCGGCATGCCCGATTCGACCGACGGACGAGAACCGCCGCGGAGTTTCGTGTAAACGGCTTGTGATTGAGGTGAGGACTACGTTCGATGACACGACGTGACACTGTGAGAAACTTTCGCTGGGTGAATGCAGCGCGCCTCCGAACGTCGCATAACTCGATTTGTCGCTCGCGGGCGGCTTATTGGCAGTCGGGCCTCGGCTGTGGCGGCGGCGACGACGGCCGCTCCGTCGTCATCCCATGTTTCTCATGTATGTCTCTCTCGGTGGTTTAGTTGAGAGCAGAAGTTCTGCGGGGTGGCGGTCAGGTTTTCGCCCTATGGGCGGGAACAGGACCTGAGTCGATGGCCACGAAAAATTATTAGGGATGATTTACATGGATTCGCCGCGACCCGGTCTCCGCTACGAGAAACTCTCAGAAAATTGTATTCGAGGGGAAAACTCTCAGAAGCGGTCGCAAACGTGGTGCTCGTACGGCTCCCGTCGAAGAATTCCGACCGCGACGTTGGGCGCGAAACAAAATTCGCTCTGTTCGTCGTTTCCTCTCATACGACAACGGATTTTCTGCGAGGGTCGATGTCTTCAGAAACGGTTGATGGATTGTTCGTTTCGTTGGCGCTGCAGCCGCCGTCCAACAAATCATCATCGTCATCCGGTAGAACGCCCGGAATCGGCGTCTGGGTCCACTGCTGCGTCGCGGCGCGAAACGACCGAGAGCGTACCTAGACGAGCGGTATGAGAGGGCCACCCGCGCCTTAAATCTTCTGATAAGGAAAAAAGAACGAGGAGAGCGGATAGATCGTCAGAATTTAGGAATTCAAATAACCGGGAGTCGAAGTTACGATTCCCGATGGTTAAACTTATCGAAACTGAGAACGAGCTCGCCGGAGCGGAACGTAGACTCTAAGATGCTCGTTTTTCTTCCAGACAACAAGCCGCTCGCTCGTTGGCGCAATGCTTGTTCGACCTCGGTCAGAACTGCACGGAGCAGCAGATGCTCATGCTGTGGAAAATGATCGAGCAGCTGACGCAGGACAGCGAACCTGGAGTCCGTCTTGAATTATTGGAACACCTCAGCCTGCTTTCGGGAATATGCTTGAACAGACAAGATCACATGAGAGCGTTTGGCGACGCAAACAGAAGGTTCCCGATGCCCCCGAAACCTCTGCTTGTCCGTCTGCACCGTCGATGCATCATCCCGTCTTTGACGGTTCTCATGTTGGACCGGGTGATCCAAGTACGGAAAACATCGCACTTGGTGCTCTTCAGAATGCTCGAATGCCGACTGCTCGCTCCACCTGGAATCTGTAAGGAGATCCTGCCCACAGTTCTGCAACTGGCGAGGATTTCTGGTGTCGACCACTCGGTCAACGGAGAATTCCAAGATCAGCGTCAGGAAGCCGCGACGGTGAGTTCTTCGCCGATATTCGTGTATTCGACTTTGGATTCCGCCCGAGCAGCACGGAAAATAGGTCCCTGCATGCTGTGCTCATGACCTCCGGCGTCCCAGGTGGGGGGGAAGTTGACCCGGCGTCGTGAAAGACATGGGTAGTGAGATGTCCTAAAAAGGATGAAGTCGCGCCTTCTCTCTCCGCATTGAAGACGCACGGAATCGTCTCACTACCTTGTCTTTGACGATGGCTGTAGTCCATTCTTCAACCTCCCCGGAGCTTTCCCATCGAGTGTCTTCGCACGCCAACGGTGATTAGGGCGCCATCAAATGGCTGTGACTACGTATCTCAGAAACGATCGTATCACAGCCACCTTTGATGAGCTCTCCTCGTCATCGAAGTCGTCCTCGAGAGAGACGGGAATACGGGGGCGCCGTCGGCCCCCTCGGGCTCTCTATATAGTTCTCAACCTCAGGCGGTAGCAAGGACTACCCGTGCCTGTTGGAGCGGCTTCCAAGCAATCCCCGACCGTCGCCTATTCATCGAGTTGGCTGTGGTCTGTGCCTGATACCGTTCATATCACAGCCATCATTGATGACTTAGGAGGCGGTCGCGTCATCGATTCATCTGAGGGAGCAATTCCAGGGAAGAGATCTGCACCATTGAGTCTTCCGCCGTGACCGTCCCGTCAAAGTGGTTGTGACGACGTTTTAATTCCCATTCCGTATCACAGCCAGCTTTGATGAGGTGGCACGACGGAGCGCGCCGTCATCAACCATCCCACATACGGATGTTTTTTCTCGAACGACTGATCATCTGCCGAAGGATCCCCCTGGCGAATCGATCATCAAATTGGATTTCTCGTGAACCCGTTATCAGCGTGAAAGACAAGGGTAGTGAGATGTCGGATTCGAGCCTCGTCTCACTAGCCTGTCTTTGACGGTGCTGGCGGTCAATGCACACACAGCGTTCTAGCCTTTTCCCTTTGCATGTTAGAGAACTCGGCGAATTTTTTCTCCTCCATTGAGTCAGTGGGGAGCCCTTGTCTGTGCTTCCAAGCAACGGCGGTGATAAGTCCCAATGGCCGACCCGTTCGTGCCTCGTAGACTTGATTGGAATTAACGCCTTTCCTTCCGTTTTTTCCTGTAGATTTTGGCCAAACTGATCCAGTTCGTCGATAAGAATCCGGCCCAAAAACATTTGCTTCCCCCGTTCCTGAAGCTCTGCAACGACCCATCGTTCAACGTTCGTCGAGCTTGCGCTGTTGCCATGGTCGACCTGTGCCAAGTACTTGACGCACAGTGCATACAGGAGAGTCTTGTAAGTTATTATCGAAGACACGATACACAACTCGATCAGGATTCGAGCCAGCTCCTATCAGTAGGCGGGAGAGCATCGTGGCTCACGAAACTTTCGCTTGCAGTTAACGACGTTCCTGTCGCTATGCGACGATGACGCGTGGTCCGTGCGTAAGGCTTGCACCGAGTCGTTCATGGCCATATCTTGTGTGGTGGATCCAAAACTACGGTTGGAGGCGCTCGCGCCTCGTTTCCTTTGTTTGCTCCGAGATTCTGCCAAATGGGTCGTGGCAGCGGCTTATCAGAACCTCGGTCCCTTTATCTCGACGTTCGCAGACCCGAAACGAACCGGGCTCGAGCTGCTCAGGCCCGACGGGGTGGCGCAGGAGGCGGCCGTCCGCAGGACGTCCGATTACGCGGCGCCGATTCACGACAAAGACATCAACATACTCAGCGAAGACATCCGAGATCTCTCGATTTCCGAAAGTGCTTTCTCCTCCATCGTGACGGCCGCCCTAGACCCGGGCGGCGGCGACGACGACACGAACAACAACGGCTCGTCGAACGACCGAATAACGAAGAACCACCTCTTGAACAACAATAACAATAAGACGCTCAACAGTAGCAGTAGTAGTAGTAGTAGCAGCAGCAACAACAATAATAATAACAACACGGAAACCGACATCAACTTCAACAGCTTTATGTTTTGGCGATCACCTCTGCCCGAAGTCGAAGAGCTCACGCTCGCTGGGAACAAGCTCACCGACGAAAACGAGCGAGACTTACGTAATAACGCCGGAAGACGCTACAGCAATCTCTACGAATTGAACCCGTCGATAGAGAGACGGCTGAGCAAGTACTCAAACGATCAGCCGACCGAATCGGCTTTGTTCAAGATAGATATCGAAGAATTATTCTCATCGATGGAGAGCGAGTCGAGCTCACGAATCGTGTCGGACACCGATGTGTCCGAATGCGGGATTCCTACGCTTCTTTTGGAGCATTTCAAACAGATGCTCGAGCCAACGCTATCCCGGACTGTAGACTGTCTCGATCTGCCTCGCAATTGCGCCTACTCGTTGCCTGCCGTGGCACTTGCCCTTGGACCGGAGCACTGGGAGGAGCATCTCCGAGACTTATTGCTCAAGCTCAGCAGCAACGTTCAATGGAAGGTACGTCATTCGGTGGCGTCGAGTCTCCACAGTCTTGTCATCATCGTCGGAGATCGAGATTCGGTCAAGTACCTGATTCCCATGTTCAACGCGTTCTGCCGCGACGTCGACGAGGTCAGACTGCCGTTATTACGCAACCTCAACCAAATCTGCGCTCATCTCGAACCGAAGTCCAGATTGCTTCTGCTGCAATCGCTGTCGGAGTTCACTCGCAGTGAGAACGATCGCATGTGGAGACTTCGGGATGAGCTCGCCAATCAGATATGCTTGATCGCCGGTTACTACCGATGGGAGGAACGCCTTCGTTGCTTGTTGCCCATTTTGGTGAAACTTCTGCAAGACAAAGTTGCTCAAGTCCGGTCTTCTGCCGCCGCGTGCTTCGGCCCGCTCATCTGGAGCTCGAATGTCCACGACACGAGCAGCGACAAGAAGAGCGACGCGGAAGAAGCCGGGAAAGAAAATACGGTCCCTCCCCCGAACACTAAGTATCGCGGGATCTCGAGTCTATTCGAAGCTCTCGACATCACCCTCCAGCTCCTTCGTCTGCTGTACGTCGACAACAAATGGGTGAAGTGGCAGCATCGACAAACGTTCGCACGGTTGCTGTCCTCTATCGTAGAAGGAGTTCCGTACGAATCTGATTTGCTCGAGGGAGCCGACGAGACAAAAGTTCAACGCGCCACCGAGGATATCGGGAGCATCTGTCCTCAATGCGTAGGCTTGCGAAACATGGCCATCGTAAACAAGCTCATCAGGAAAGAACTCTTCTCCCTGTTGGAGAACCGAGTTCCCAACGTACGTCTCGAAGGAGCGAAACTCCTATCGAAGATGACAACTCGATGCGCCAAAATCGTCTCGATGCACAAACAGAGCTGCGAGCCGTGTCGGACAAAGCTCTCCGAAGCCGCTCAAACAGTCGCTCATTTGAGACCGCCGAGGCGGACTCATCGTCGGAGGAGGACCACGCAACCTCCACTAAAACTCTGTAGTTTCGATGAAGACTGGGAAACCGACACCGAGGCCTCGACGCCGAAGAAGGAGACCACCATAGCCGCTGCCGTTGAGATCGAAGAATCTGTCTCGACCACCCCCTCGACCGATGGAGAGAAATCATCAACCGAAAACGAGACGAATATTCAGCCTGAAGAGAAACCCGGACCGACAGAAGAAGACGAAAAACCCAATCAAGAGAGGAGTTCGGACAGTGATTCTAGCCAAGAGAACGGTCGGAAGCGATGTGAGCTGCTCGCAACGTTGGGACTCACGGAACTCCCAGCTGCGTTCGCGATTCTCCTCGACGACCTAGATGAAGACGTTTGCAGAGTTGCCAAAGACGCCGTCAATTTCTTCGCCCAAGAACAAAAGGTACGTTCGACTCGGTCTCGGAGAGTATTCGCTCTCTGAACGGGAATCGTTCGTTGTGATCGTCGATGTGGAGCCTGAATTTTGTTCCGGCACAAATCGTATTGTCGCCGACCGGTTGCTCACCAAAATGTTGTTCCCTTCTAGGTGGAATGAACGACACCCGAGGACCGCAGCCGAGAGTATAGCGATTCCGAGGAGCGGATATTGTCGATTATGAACCCACAAAGATTATCAGAATATTCATCCATCCGGCGGATCCTCGCATCTCGCTGGGGATGTTTCTCTCCTACCGCGAGAACTACGGGCTCGATCAGTTGCCACATCGGTCTCGGCTCTCGTCGATATCTGCACCAAAAACGATTGATTGTTTGAGTTTCGCGAGACTACCGCTCCATAGCAGTTCCCTTCCTCCTCATTTCATTCTCGATAGCGCTGAAAATTTCTCCTCAACGCTATCCGGGGCCAAAGTCGACGCCGGCACGCCGAAACCTACTTCCAATCGCCTGAAATTACCGAGTGAATCATTTAGCCGCACCATCGTATGGCGCTTATGGCGCCCTCGAGTCTCGACACTTACCCTACTTTCTGGGAAGTCAATGTCGTCTGCACAAGCAGACGTTGGGACTTACTCAAGTTCTTCCCTCTGTCCCTTGGAGCAGCAGGAGCGAGAATAAATCATTAGACGCATTGAAAACCAATATATTCACGGCGACGGTGACAACGCAGCAGTGAACGTCGTAACGTACACGGTAGATAGCCAAATGCGTGCAACGGTTCCAGCCCGGGAGGGACTGGCGAGTATTTTGTGATATGGACACTGAGACAATTGAACCGAGTTGGAGGAGAGAGTCCTCTGAAACAAGATCTGACTGTGTGTTGCAGGAACGACTGCACGCCAGGAGGACGTTTCTTTCATGATCGATACTGTAGCTATTCGATACCACTGTGAAGAAAAGAACCTATTCTCTTATATCGAACCACAAGCGAAGCAATCAACGAAGTTCTAATCACATGAATATATGTCGTTGATGCAGAGGAATAAAAGTCTGATGAAAGTGAAACCGAGCTTCTGGCTGTCATTTATATAGCGCTTGTGTCAAGATCGTGATTAAAGCGGTCATCGGACCGGAATCTTCGTTCATATCTCATGTCAACATTTTCTTTGATCGTTGCGCGATAGGCGATGAGCAAATTGATCTTTATTCGTCGATTCATTTTACAATCCATGGATATAGATGAGTCCATGTATGTCGGGGAATATAAATTTTCATTTCCCTCTCGGCAACACACAAATATCGATGGAGTCTTTGGAGGTCGCCAGATAAGGCATGCCTGGATTCAGCTTAATCGGTAGCTCTTTGATATCTGCGTTCTTGTCATCGGGTCGCGGCTCCAACCGCACTTTCGTCAGAACCGCGGTAAGCAGAACGGTCAGTTGGAGGAGGGCGAGCCGTCGCCCGATGCAACCTTTGGGTCCATCTCCAAAGGTCATGAAAGCCTGACAGTCTTCGTTGAGGAAGCGCTCCGGACGATATTTCAGAGGCTCGGGGAAGTATCGGCTGTCTCGATGCATGGCAGGAATAGGGATCTGGACCGCCATACCAGCCTCGACTTTCACATCGGCGATGGTGCAAGGAGCTTGCGTTATTCTGTCCACGATATAATCAGTCGGGTACAAGCGGAGGGTCTCGGTGAAGCAAGCTTCAACAAACTTCATTCTGCTGTAATCGTCGTAGGTGATGTTGTCGATGTCGGAGACGTTCTCCAAAATATTCCTGTACGCCCGATCCTGAGCCTCCGGATGTAGCGCCAACATGTAGAGCGTGAAAGACAGAGTCATGGCCGTGGTTTCGAAACCAGCGGTGAAAAACGTGAACGTTTGCGCCGCGACGAGGTCGTCCGTGAATTCGGGATTCGTTTTCTGCTCTTCCAGCCACAGCCCGAGGATGTCGATCTCGTTCGATGGGAATTGTCTTTGCCTTCGACTTTTTATTACCGACGTCGAAAATTCCGTGAGGAACTTCATCACGTGTTTCTGAGGATAATGAACCGGCACGTATTTGAGAAGCCAAGGAACGGACAACAGAAGAGTGAGTCCCAAACAGGGCGCGAAGACGCCCTGACCGCTGACCACAAATGGATTTTTCGGGTCTTCCATCGCGTCAAGTTCGAGGCCGTACGCCAAGGCGGCGATCTCGTCTATGGCGAAACCTTGAGCGTATTTTACTGGATTGATGATGTTGTTTTCGGACGCGGCGATTTTCGACAGTTTCTGACTCATTCGTTCCGAGTTGCGTTGCATTTTCGGCACCATGAATCTGAGTTTTGCAGGCGTGAAGCCTGGCGTGGTGAGTTTTCGCACCGTCTTCCAGGTCTTATAATCTAGTGAAAAAAGACTGTTGTCCCATAGTTTAGCGCCAGTTTTCACCTCGATCGATCTCTTGTGAGCGTTCATGAAGTTTGATGTCAAGAGATCCTTACAACCTTCGAGTGTGCTGACGCGGAGCGCTGGTGTCAGCCCTTGATAGGTCCCGTAAACGAGTCCGTATTTCCTGTTGTACTCTTCAAGAATCGTGTACACATCTTCCTGCTTGTATCGAACGAAGTAACTGTGGAGATACTGTAGATAGGGCTCATAAGGTATTCCTGCGTTTCTCCAGAACGTTGTGGCTCGATGTATCTTGTAGAGGATTGTCAGAACCAAAACTAGGATAACAAACAGAAGATACTGATACATGGCGGTTGAACTTCGCTTCACGTTCGCGTTAGACCGCTTCGATGACTCTCGCTTGAGCTTGACGCGACAGCGATCGCAGAGTCGTTTCGAACGACAGAGACGCCGATGTCGTGGAGAGGAGGCCACAATCTCTCTCCAGATTTGACGAACCCTCCTCGATCACAATGACTTCAAGGACCATTACCATACCATACCGAAGTACCCCGATCTGCGTGAGCCGTAACGCCGGCGCCGTCGAAAACGTGACACTCAGAAAAATTACATGATGGAGACGGGGAGAACGAAATCTGCATTGATGTTGAAGTGCTCATCCGTGTTGGATGATTATGAGTAGCATTCCTTAGATAAATACCGTCCAGAAGTCTCAGTATGCGGAACTCACTGGATTGATTTGATTCCCGTCCCAGCCATCAATAATTTAAAAACAGGTCGAACTCCATGAATCGGGGAATCGGGGAAGAGCTATAGCCGGCTCACTTTCTTCGTTTACCAAGAAGACAAACTTGAATGATACAATATCGCAGTACAGATCTGTGATCAGAATACGCGGAGCCTTCTCGTTCTGAGAATCTAATCGCCCCCTCTGGGGTTTCCCGGCATCTCCTATGAAGAATCGGCGGTTTATGATCATTAGAGGTAGGACATCAAGGCAGAATGCCCAATTTGCCTAGAAAGGCCTCGATCCCTGAGATGCATTCATTCTGTCCGAAATGCTCATTTCTGCCTAAAGAGTCTCTATAGAGCCCGAGTTGCCTATCCTTCTCCTGATTCCGCTTCACATATTATCTGTCATTCCTCAAATCACTGGTACTGAAGAATGCCCGACGATTTCATAGTTCGAACTCAAACTTCTCGGAAGCTTTTTCCCCCTAGGATAGACGCCGTTCCGACTAGGCGGGGCTATTCTCGGAAGAACTCGCCCGATTCTCCCGCGGAGTTTCCCCGAGTCGACCAACCGGAAGCTGTGGCTCGACTCGGGGAAACCCCGCGGGAGAATCGGGCGGGTTACCGTTCATTTGACCGAATTCAAATGACCGAAGCCACTCGACCGAAACCACTTGACCGAAGCCACTCATTGACCGAAGCCGTTGGACTGAATTCATGTGTTCCCGCAGCTCGCATTACGCGGGAGTAACGTAATCGAGTTCGAAAACTTGAGAGTGATAAAGGCGAGCGTGACGTAGTCGAGCTCATGCTGTATTGTAACCCAGACGAGACTTCCATCTGAGATCCAGCTGAGCGTCCTCGTAAGTGAGCCGAGGCCTCATAGATTCTACGAAGTCAGAATCTTCGTGAGGCTTCAAGAAGAAGAATTCATTCATATGCAGATAGGAGCGCAATGTTATCAGATCTTCGGCGCCGAAGAGCTCACAGCGATAGTATCAGAGTTTATTAAGAGGACAATTTGAGAGTAGTTTCATCAAGAAGTAAGAATGATTGATTGATTGATTGTTGAACAAGGCTCGAGAATCGGTCTCAGACAATCAGCTCATGCACGAAGGAACCAGACAGCAAAATAGCGGAACCGTCGCGCTCCCCATGGACTGGGGGTACTCCTATTCGGTCAAGTGGATTCGGTCAAATGGATTCGGTCATATGGCTTCGGTCATGTGGCTTCTGTCAAGTATTTTTCTGTATGGAGGATCATTTAACTAAACTTGTTTTATGACCGTAAATCTTATTATATTTGTGGAAAAGAAAATTATTTTGTCGGAGTTGCTAATATATTGATATAACATTCTCGAAGAAACTGGGCATAAAATTTAGGAAAGCGTAGTTCTGCGCCCATTGCCCGACTGGGTTCGAGGCTCTGTCGATGGCCTGCGCGTTTTTTTTTCTCGAAACCACTGGCCAGCCGTGGCAAACGCTCTATGACCTCGCCAACGGAGACACTGAGAGCTTCCGGGATCCGCTCTGACTCTGCGATCGTCTCGACTGCGATCTCTCTCACGTCAGTACTTCATCGTCCGAATCCTCTCATATTCCGAGTCCGACGTCGTCTGGACGCGAGAGGACGGCGATTGAGTCTCTCCCATAGATGTTTTTCTCACCACCCGTTTGAGTCCATGGGCAAAGCATCTTCGCTGACTGAGCCCGACGCTCCTCAGAACATTTTCCGCCACGTCACTAGCAGCGGCGAAGAGATCCCTCGTCGACAGGCCGACAGTACCGAGCCGCGAGGTTAGGACATGTCGAAAAAACCCTCCGGTAGCTCTATCATCCACACCGATCAGCCCAAGCGCCGTGATTTTCGAATTGCCGAACATACGATCGGGTCCGTATGATGCACATTTACAGTCGAATGACGATCTTCTCCGACCACCGCTGCCTCGTCAATGCCTCACTGCTCTGCGTCGTCGGATCGGGAACGGGAGCGTTCCCGATGCCACACTGTCCCGTCAAGAACTCACCGGGGTGCTCGTGTTTCTTCGGCATTGGAAAACCTCGAATTCAAGGACAGAAGTGACGAGCGACTTGCCGCCGAGAACATGAATAGTCACACTGTCCACTGTCCTAGAGGTTTCCCGAAAGGGTTCTGGTGCGGAACCCTTTCCGGAACTTCCGGAGCGAAACCAAACTCGCCGTCAATGGCTTCCCGGGCTATCGTCGTCACGGGGACGGCCGTTCCGTTCTTCTCCAGGCCAGGATTCGCGGAGCTTCTTCATTCCACATGCCAGCGCAGTTTCGTAGCCTTTTCATGACTCTGATCGTTTTCGCTGACCGCCGGTTTCTCTACATGTTCGGCACGAACTCGAGCATGCCCTCATGGAAGGTTTCCTTCACGCTGGAATGACCCTGCAGGTCGCAGGATAAATGGAGCTCATCAATAAATCGCGCGCAAACTCACTGAGCATGGAAGAAATCATCGAGTACGCTTGCCGTTTGATATTCCGGGATTCGAGGACGTCATTCTAGCAAAAGACCACGACTATCATCGACGTCAAGGATCTGGAAGATACGATTCGCTGCATGGGGAACAAAAAAAGATCTGTCGTGAATTCGCCATCGGAACATCCCAAGGCTCTCCACCCGATCGATGGCTTTGTTCACATCGAACTTCACCATTCAGAATCCGCCGCTGGCCATTTTCCGTCCGACTCAGCTTCTGCGTGCCCATAAACAAGTCTCATGTCAGGGTCAGTCGTTTCCACGCGTCGGAATCTACCACGAGGAATCGGTGTCCACACACGGGCAACTCAATATTCGAGAGCGAGAAGTCGAGCAGGATTATTCTTCCCCGCTTCAGAGAAACTCATCAAGAACATGGTATTCGGAGAAGCTCTCGACTGATAAACACAAACGCCAACACCATTCAGAAATGCTTTCATATGTATAGAGCTCCCACCCATCCGCGAAATCCTGACTGGTGACCGTCGAGGCAGAAGACGCATGCCTTGTTGCCTGCCATGGCGCCCCCAGGCAGCATCGGAAATATGCAGAAGCCGATGCTCGGATTCCGGCAATCGTTCGAGAATTTTCTCCGTCCGAATCAGTGGAGTCCACAGGATTCTTCTCTGGGGGGGGGGGGCTAGATCAGGTCCTCGCATGGGGCTGATTTCCAACATGGCGACCCGCTCCGATACCTTAGTATTACGAACTCTCAATCGTGGAGGGCCCTATAGCCTCCTAGCCCCCTCTCTGCGGACGCGCCCGGTCCAGATCCATCCTTGAATTTTTTCGTGGGATATCATACGATCAGGCAAGCTAAGGCTTGATTAAAATTCATAAACTCTCTCGATCGATTGCGACTGTTGCGGAAAAGTCAATGAACTGTGAGTTGAAAGAAAAGTGCAGATTGCGCTGCTTCCTGTCATTGTGAGTCGGCGTCATTCTCGTCGCGGTGCACAGTGGTCAAAAATCGATTTATAGGTTCACAAAATGATTCAGTCGCTTTTCGCCCACTTCTCAAAATTGAAAATTTTAATCTACCGGAAACCTTGAAAATAAGTACTGGACGACCTGTAAGAAGGACGCGCCGACCCGGAAAGTTGCGATTCGGATCGATACGGCCGAGGGAAAATTCATCCGTGGCCGACATTCGGCGAAAACCTGGATCGCTCGTTTGGGACTTACGCTCCGGCTTGCCCCAAGCCGAGTCTACCTCACAGGCAAGCTCGTGCGGTCTCCACTCCTATAGGAAGTTGGAAGTCAAACAGGAATCCACGAGCATAGGAATCGCTCTTCGTGATTCGCTTTCGGACAGAGTTCCACGATGCATTAAGACTTTGAGGAGGACGAAGTGGTGGCAATGGAGGAGGTGATCAAGAATCAAGACTATTTCCATAACCGGGAGAAAACTCGTTGAGGAATGCTTCGGAGCCAGAGTACGGACGAGATAGGTTGGCATGGTCGACTTCCTGCGTCCATCTCGAAATTTGCATCGATGGAGCGTCGAAAAAAGATTTGAAGCACAAGCTCAGCCGAGAGACCGCCAAAGTATTTGAAGGGGTTTGAGAGAAGTCGACGGAAGGAAGAAGTTTTCTTCCGCGACAATGCTGATTGGTCTGACACGGACCCCCTCCGAATCGACATTAAAAAGAGAGATCGAGGACAGGCCTCGACATCGTCACGAGGGCCCGGAAGGCCGGCGAAGCATCTTATGGAGTTGCCAGATAAGTCGAAAAAGCGTAGGGTCCGACCTTTGCGTTTGGTCTTGCTTCAGCATGACACGAAACATCTTTTACATGCAACACACCATTCCTTGCACTCAGCGGTCGATCGCAAGAGTTCTCGGACGGTGAGGGATGTGTTGGAACGACCAGCTAAACAAATAAGCATAAAATTATATTATGATGTGCCTACTTATTTTCGGCAGAATGAAGATGAATCAGAATTACCTCCCCGGGACCTCAAACATCATCTCCACGGGCAAACTGAAGGCCGGGGAATCTATCCGATTTCCACGCCTCATTCGGAGAGCCAAAATCAATTGAAAAAGCCCCTGGCAGGTAGTGTCAGAGACACTATCGTAAGTTTGGACGTGAAACGCATTCTCGATTGCCCCAAAGGATCCTTAGGTCTAGATTCGTATATCACCAGAATCATCGAGGTACACATGATTCGGTT